TTGAATATTCAAATAATGGTTTTATTTACCATGTATGATTCATGAGATTTGAGAGGAAAGAAAGATCTCTTTCTTAGATGAATATGACTTTTTTTTTAATTTTGAAGATTGACATTAAGATTAAACTTTAGTCTTTCCTTGACTAAAGATCCATGATTTCTCTTTTCATCGATTTAAACACGGGTTCGAAATCAGTTCCAGCTGATAAATTCATGTTAGTGTATATCGGTATTTCAAAGCATGATTTTTGCATAAGATGATTTTCACATCAAAATCGCATATTGAGCATCGCAACTGTAATTTATTCTTTCCAAGGTAAATCTGTGGATTCTATTTCAATCATATTTTTAAGATTTAAATTCTGTGTTAGTGATTATCTACATGTCCAGGTCATCAACTTACCATCTGGTTGTGTATCCACAGCATTAGATCAATAGTTTGTCTCAACTTACCCAGCTTTTCTGGAGGACTTAATCCATGGGGGACCCCAAATCAGAAGAAAGCGCGAGATGTGAGCTGCTCTCCGATACTTTATAGTCTTCCTCTCATAGTTAAATAATCATAACATGCACAAGATATCTTCTATCCTTGGAACAATAATTTTAGATTCTGCTGTTCTGTAGAGAGATCTTACTCCACCTTATGTTGATGATGGCCTTCTTGAGGTTGTCGGTTTCCGGGACGCATGGCATGGGCTTGTTTTGTTCACCCCAAATGGGCATGGAACCCGTCTTGCACAGGTAAAAGTAGCCCATCTGTCTTACATTCCAGGAAACCATGACAAGTTGTTAGCTGATTTCCCTCTCGATCAGTACATCGTGCAGCCTTATACTTATCAGAAATATGATATGATACTACAAAAACATCATATTTCTGAGCTGCAATATTTCCTAGATTAACCTGGTCATCTCAACAGGCACGAAGAATTCGGTTCGAGTTCCACAAGGGTGCAGCGGATCACACATTCATGCGAATCGATGGGGAGCCGTGGAAGCAGCCTCTACCGGTGGATGACGACACGGTTGTCGTAGAGATCTCTCATCTCCGTCAGGTCAAAATGCTTGCAACCCACAACTGCATCTCCAAGAGCATCGATGACCCCTTGACACCATCATCGGCGAGCCATCATGATGACGGGGACAGCAGTCCGGAATCCGAGGATGAGTGGGAAGGAGGGAGGAGGAAATTTGGTGCAGCAGAGACATTCAAGATTCCGGAGGACACAGACATTGCTCATGTTAGTTAGAGCTCTACCGACACCTGCTTGCTTTGTGGCATTCAATTCCTATTAGCCTATGGGACCGAACTGTTGTATCATTTTGCTCGATTTGTTGTAACGATAGCTTTGTGAGCTGATCAATTTAACCTTAATAAAAACTGTCACTGAGAATGGATATTTTTCCTCTTTTGTATTTATAATTTGATTTTTTTTAAGAATAATGATAAAAATGAGATTTGATATACTGAGCATCTCATCCTGACACTGTCACATCGACAGTGACTTGGCATCACCTTGAACGCACATCAACTGAGTGATCATAATATACATATTTGTGTAGTAGTAATTGTAATGTTCGATTGATAATTTTGATCATGTCCTTACGATTGAAAAATGATTGATAATTTTGTGCAATCTTTTTCAGCACATTAATACTTCACTTATTTTCATTGATTACTTGATAGCCCTCTATTCATACACGAAACACGTAAAGAGATCTTTGTCATTGATACCCATAAAAATCTGGATAGAAAATATTTGGATTGAGAATTGAACCGATATATATATCGGTGTCGAAATTGATTAAAATACTAAGACTAAGACTCATCAAAAAAATTTTGTTGATTGGATGAGAATAAATCAAAAATTATTCTACAATATCAAATCTAAAACCTTGATTCTTCTTATAATTTATGTTACCTTTTGATTCATATAAGATTGTAATATTTGTATGAAAATAATATTGGTTTGTCAAAGCTGATATATATATATATATATATATATGTATATATATATATGTATATATGTATATATATATATGTATATATGTATATATATATATGTATATATGTATATATGTATATATATATATATATATGTATATATATATATATATGTATATATATATATATATATGTATGTATATATATATATATGTATGTATATATATATATATATATGTATATATATATATATGTATATATATATATATATATATATGTATGTATGTATAAACAGAATTAACGGTTAAAATTTAACCTCGCCTCGGCCTTTACTTGAGGACAGGCGCATTATACGTAGAGATACGTCTCTATACGTATACATAATGATTCATGTTTAGCTACTGCTGCATTCCAATACGAACAAGAAGCAGAGGAGCGTCTCCGTGTCTACTTGGGACCCCAGCAGTCCCAGTACATGACCTTGCTCAGCGACGCCTCCGTCCGCTTGGCTCGCTCGGCGCAGCTTGCCCCTCCCGTCCTCCATTGCTCCACGCCCATGCCGTCCTTCGCCTGCTGTTGGAGAGACCACATCGCGTGGTTCCACCGATAGAGCTCCGCTTGGTCCTCGGGCGCCTCCACCGTCGCCACGCTTGCCGCCGCCGCCAAAGAATTCCCGGCCGTCGAAGCCATCCTTTCTCTTCCTGGCCGTGTCAGAGCGAAAAAGGAGAACAGGAGGGGAATGGTTATATAAGTCCCCATGGGGTGAGAGAGATATAGAGAGAGAGAGAACATGGAAGCAAGAGCCCATCGATGGCCAACCATGTGTTGGGGAGGAGATCAACGCCCAAGGCTATATTGCTTGCTCGATAATAGCCACCCATGTGTCTGTGTAGGGGCACGCCAAGACACAAATTTTCTCCATTGTTGGATAGAGTTATAATAGATAACTTAGCATTATGTCACGAATTTACTTAGTTTGGTTCTGTGATATTTTTGTGTATCTATTTACAAAAAAAACCAATATTTCCGTAACCTCGTAGAGTACCTAAGGATAAAAAAAAATAGTTAGAAACGACATGAATGCATAAGCAAATTATCATCATTGTTCTTTTGTAGTATAGACTCGAGATTTTCACGAGTAGATGTTAAAGTAAACACTTGATAAGTAATATAAAATATAAAAATAATTTTTAAAAGTATTAAATGATCATATAATAATTTGTTGTGTATATAAATCCTCGTGCAAAAGTACTATGTGATGAACTAATCCAAGATACTATCTTGGAGTCTAATCCAATCATATGTTGATGAGGTAAGATATGTTGGATTATGTGATTATATCTAATTATGTAAGATATATTATATATATGATTGGATTTTGATTAGATCAATAAAAAGGATATCCAATTATGGTAGGATTCCCTTAGAGATATCTTAATGAGAGGGACTCTCCTAATTATTTATCCTAGGTCCTCTACTCTCACTTGTAAATAAATAAAATCTCATACGGACTTATGATGCAAAATAGTTATTAAGATATTATAGATCTTATCTTATCTTCTCTTTGTCCCTAATCCATCGCTTATAGTAGTTCTATGAAGGATAGGAAGAAAGGAGAATGTGAGTCTAGTTCTCTTTACAAATCAATAACTTTGGAATCCGATGATGGTGCGCTTGCTGATCAAATAAAGATTTTTTTGAATGACATCGAAAAGTATGTATCGTATATTTAATCTATCATTATTTGATTTTTATTTTTGGCATTAAAATTTTTTAGATAATAGTAGTATAATTATGATGTTTATACTTACAATTGATATCATAACCATGTTTTGAAATTAAATACCTTCGATCATAAAAGTATTTTAGATTTACTTTATATTTAGATATGTTTATTGTCAGCCTTGGCTTGCAAAAAGGTTTTATTCAGTTTTGATTTATGATGCTTGAATGATCTATTTGTGTTGTCAATCTATTTTCTATTTAGTCCATCATGTCGTATACGTGTGGGAAATACAAGGTTTCTCGTATTTAATCAATGGAGCACTATCGATAACTTACTGTGACGACAATATTATTGAGGGCGATGACCTTCGATGGTCACCAACCTAATTGCAAGTAACGGTTGCGTACATAGTAGAAGCACTATGGGGTACGACAACCTTATAACGGTTGGCTTGTCTTGGTCAAAGGCGGTTGTAGTAGCATGGTGGCTACAATAGCATCATTGTGACTTGTAGTGACTACGGTGACTGCAACAGTGTCGCTACGGCCTATGGTAGTTGCGATGACTATAACACTATCATTGTATGCGGTGGCTATAGCAACGTTACTATGACATTTGCTGGCTATGACTAGCATCAATTGGATGTTGAAGGCGAACGATTACGTCAAACATAAGTGTGGGTATAAGCGCGCTCCCGTCGACTCTTGTCGCACCCACGAGGTACCGTTTTGCACAAATGTACTTGGGCATGATGACATGACACCGCATGACGATCAAAGAGATTATCGATCGATAGTATAAGGATAATTATAGAAGTGACAATTATGTTTTTTCAAAAAGATATTGGCCTCATTCACCGAAATATCAAGAAAGGATCATTAGTTTCTTGAAACAAACAAGCCAGAGAGCAGCAATCTTTCCCTGTCTCGGGGAAGCAGTGGTCTGCACCAATGGTTTCACTCGGAAAACCATTAGCTGCCAGTAGCACCACACGAGCTGAAGACCCGTCGCTGCTCTCGTGCTCTCTGCAATCTGCATCTTTTGGGAAGATGAAGCTCGCCAACAAGACATGCTTAGCTGCTCTTCTGGGGGCTGTCATGCAGGTCAAGAGTGAGATGACCAAGGCAAGCGGAAGATCCTCCGCCAGCCTCCCATCCTTCATCCGCAGTCTCAGTGCAGAGTTCAGAGCCCATGCGGAAACTACGTCGGAGGAGTCACCGAGGATGGTGTTCTACTTGAGCTGTTGGGGTCCGGATTAAGGTGTCAATCTTCTTGTAAGATTCATGTTCGAGTCCTGAAGGTGAGGAAGATTTATATGATGGAGAGAAAGCTGTAATATAGTGGTATATTATTAACTGTTTCTTTTCGCCGAAGATAAAAGCAGAACATATTGATCGATGATTAGGCGGCAACGACGTCTTGGTTGGGCTTCGGCGACGTCAAGAGCGCGGTGTAGATCCTGAGCTTGTCTTCTTCGAGGGACGAGCAGCGAGAAAGAGGGCGCCGAGGTCGTATGAAGGAGAGGGAGGTGAGGGTGAGGCGGTGCCTGTACCGCCTCCAAGCCAGCTGTATCGCCACCGCCGCCCACGTCCTCCACCCGGGGGAGTAGTAACGGGCGCTCCTCCGCACCTTCTCGCTGACGAAGGTGTACCGGAAGTGCTGCGTCACGTACCGGAGGTCGCTGGCGCCCAGCCCGAACGCCTCCGTGGTCTCCGCCGTCACCAGAGTGGATGACGACGGAGGGAGTCGTTCCACGAACGGCCGCCGGAGACACCACGACAGCAGCTCGTCGCCGCTGAAGTTGCCCGGCCCCAGCATGCAGTGGCTCTTCACGCCGTTGCGCAGGGCTTGGCTGCTCCGGAGGTGTCCTCGGACCACGAACAGCATCCTCTGCACTGGATCTCCTTCTCTCGTGATCTATAGGTAAAGCCGCATAAGAAGACGAGCAAACGTGCGAGTTGGAGATCATGGCATCTCACCGTCTCTCCCTTGGGGAAGATGAGCGACTTGACCCTGTCGCAGATGTTCTCCAGCACCAGCTCGTCCATGTGTTGGAACAGCGGCACCTGTCGAACGAGATCGAGGCAGAGGTGGTACTTGATGTCCCTGCGCAGCCCCTCGGGGAGGTTGCGCGTCACCTCGCACTCGTCCACGCCTCTCATGGCCGCCCACCGCTGCCGCTCGTACTGCCGCACCCTCTGCCGGAACCCGCGCGGCAGGTGGCGCCGCCTCATCCACCACTCCAGGCTTCTCATCCTCAGGTGCAACGCTTGCTTCTTGGACGTCGTTGCGTGCAAGAAGACCTGCGTCGGATCCCATCACCGACGTGCTCATGTTCGCATCATAATCGTGGATTACTCCGCTAAGCTCACCTTGATATTCCCGATCAATGCTGTCACAAGCAGCAGTCCGCTCGTCACGATGATGATGTTGAAGACGATTTCGAGCCATTCGGTGGTGCTCTCGATCGTCCCAAATGTGCTGAAAAGTAGATGTTCCTGAAAACAGTGATGAACCAGAATTGGAGCACTACAAGAATCAGGAATCACCTTAGGGTCATAAGGCCCCAGAAGATTGGCAGCAAGATCTTCTCGACTCGGCTAGGGTTCGTCACGAGGGCCACAGTCCACTTGTAAGCTCCGTACTCGAAGTTATCGCTGCTGTCAAGGCACATAGACCTTACCTTCTTGTTCTCAGCCCACGCCAGTCTCTGCCTCTCTGTGACTCCGTAGTACATTGGATCCGTGCATGCCACTGTTCTTAGTGCACACCCCTCCGTTGCCATGCACTGTTGGTTGAGGCACTTTGTGGCCCTCTGAATCCCCAGCAAGTACCAGCAAGCGCCTGCAGCCTGTCGGCGAGGATCTGAATCATGAGAGGCGTACAGATACGGTGAGAGGCACCGGATTCAACGCAGACTCACATGGGATGCCACGAAATAGGCGATCAGGTTGAGAACAATGCCGCCCCAAATGTTACCGAAGATGTAGCCTAGGAGGTTCTGCAGCCGGCGGAGGAAGCAGAAGGCGTGGTAGATCTTGGGGAGGTATTGAAGAAGGAACATGATCAAGAAGACGGTCATTACGGTGGTCGTCATCCCTCTGCGTATCAGGGCAGGAGCTACGATCCACATGACAACCTGCAGAACAGAGAATCCATTTCAGTGCCTGATGATGTACAATAGGAGGGTTCTCAGATGGAGTCTGCAGAGCTACATTTAGTTTCTTCCTTAAGATGAGTATAATTGCATGGTTTGGATGAGCAGGAAAGCTACATGAATGAATGCATGCTTCCGTTTGGCTAAGACTGTCGCGAGGTAGTGCACATGAACACATCTCACTGTCGTTTGCAGTGTGACTCTCTCTCTCTCTCTCTCTCTCGTGTGTGATGTGGGACGAAGGACGTGCACGTTAGCGTTAGAAGGTAATGACGACAGGCTTTCAAGGCAGTAGAGGACGATTGTCTTCTTCCTCGTAATGGCCGTAAGAATGGTCTGCTAGGCTCCAATTTCTGGAGAGCATTTGTTTCACTCATTCAGAGTACCCAAACGATCATGTTTATAGCACTGTTTGATGCTCATAACCGTAGTTCTAAGAGATGAAGCAGTGCAAGAGGAGGCAACAAGAAGACGTAACCTGAGGCACCGGGAGGATGACGAAGAGGTCGAAGAGAACCGACTTCAAGAAGCTGAGCCGGCGAACCTTGGCGATGGCCTTGCACCCCTCCTCGTCCGCGCTTGCTCTGCGCCCTGCGTCGTAGGCCGCCGTCCGCACCTGCAACCACAAGTTCAGTAGGTGGACCGCGTCGTTGGTGCAGCGCAGCACGGTGACCGTGACGGCGAACCACCCGTCGATGAAGACGCACATGCACGTGCGGCTGATCGAGAGGGCGTAGAAGAAGAGGGGGTCGACGAAGAGACCGCCGGCGCACACCAGGAGGAACGCGCGGTTCCATTCCTGGAACAGCTTGGCTTTGGATTCCGACGACGACCAGGGTGGCTTGCCGCAGCCAGAGTTGCTCGCGACGTGGGCGCTGGACGCCTCCTCGGCATGTAGGGCTTCTTCGCCGGCACTGGAGCAGCCTGAACAGTGTGCGGTGGCCATCATTGTGGCAGGAGAGGAAGAAGAGGTGGATGAAGAGAACCAAGCCGGAGGCGACTGCTCACGCCCTTGACATGGGCGATATAAACACCAAACAGGTGCTTGTTCTGTGTACGTGCTGTACCCTTCAAAATGTACATACAAATGGCTTCTAGTGTCCAAGTATTATACGATTATAATTATACATATATATACATATTCAAAAGATGGCCTTATATTTCATTAACAATAAAGGCTTTATTTAATTAGATGATAACTTGGTATATAATCACCATTACATGATCATAATACGGTCATCATGAACTAGCAGTGTGTACTGGGATCGGAATTGGAAAGGGAACAAGGGGCATGTTCGCAGCAGCTTCCTCTCCCCTTGTGTTGCATGTGAACCCACTCATGCTGTCATCCACACACTACATCTCGTGCATCCTCTCTCTCTCTCTCTCTCTCTCTCTCTCTCTCTCTCTAATGTCATTGATGTCATAGTCATGGGGTCATCTTATATAGTTCTCTCTAATGTCATTGATGTCATAGTCATGGGGTCATCTTATATAGTTGTAGCATAAGTACAAGACAAATGCAAGTGAACATGTCAAATCAACTATGTAGGGAGGTGAAAGAAACAACACCATGAAATAGTTAGACCAAGAATAAGATAAGAATGCTTAACATAATAAAAACATTCATGCATGTAGATACACAACATGTATGCATCAAATGCCTCGAGCATTTCATCTGTGTGTGGAAGTAACAATGTCACATTTCTTTAATGAATCAGATTCCAACACCTTTTAAGAAGAACTATTCAAACCTAAAGCTATGGCTTTAGGCCACACACAAAGGTGGGTCATTATATAACAATTCTTGAGTGAGTTTTGATTATTTTGTTTGACCATGTCAGTAAAAAATAGAAATTATTTCCAATAAAAATAATGCAAGGAAGATGAAGTTTGAGCTAAAGCTTTTGTTTGTAGAGGACCAAGCAACCATAACAAGGCAAGCAAAATTTCCAACTTATGACAAGGGACAATGTAATAAAAGAACATCACACACCAATCAACAGAAAATGTTGATGCCAATTAATCAACAGTTATCACCCAGAAATATGTGGGAATAGTCAAAACTAAGGTGCCTGTTAGATCAATTGGTTGACATGAATGATTCCTCATTAAGACAAGTAATTCATGCAACACAATTCTGAATGAAACATGAATGTAGGACTGCTGTGAAGCAAGAAAGAAATGAACTCCAAGAAAACCAAGTCCAGATGTGATAACTGTTGATGCCAATTATTCAATAGTTATCACCAAGAAATATGAGGGAATAGTCAAAACTAAGGTGCCTGTTTGATAAATTGGTTGACATGAATGATTCCTAATTAAGAAAAGCAATTCATGCAAGACAATTCTGAATGAAACATAAATGTACAACTGTTGTGAAGCAAGAAAAAATGAACTCCAAGACAAGCTAGTCCAGCTACAAGATAGGAAAAATGTTGCAAGGTAAGACAAAAATATGGTTTGCATTTACAGATGAATATATCTCAAATTTGATGCAGCAAAAAGGACAGAGGCATAAAAAGAGTCGAAGAAACCAGAGAGACAGGAATAGTCGAATATGAAAACAATATATATGGTATAGCGGTCAATACAGCAGTAATGCTGATCAAAGCACTAGTACCAAGTTAGTCAAGACTGTGAGCAAAGAGAAGGTAATATTTTAAGCATAATTGTCTTCTTCACAGTGAGAAATAAATAAAGAGTCATATGATGAGAGTTCCGAGAGCATAATTTGGTGTCACATTCATATATATGGCAGTTAATAAATAACAGAATACGATACTAATCAAATTTGGACTCGATGAATTGGTTTTCCAAGTTGTACAAGACTAATAACAAAAAAAGAAACAGATGACCTGCTTTGAGGGGAAATGTTGAAAAGGAAAACATTCTATAGCACATCAAAAAATATGTAACGGTTCACAGAATGCTTGAAACCCATAGCAGTCAGTCGAACAACACATTATGCATCCAGATCAGATGAATTTGTTAAAATGATGTATAGGAAGAAAAGAGCATATAGAAGAAAGATAATGGAGTACACATCTAGAGTGCAATTCATGGATGTCATCACTGTGTCGAGTTTTACCTGCAAGTATAGAGATTTATAAGAAAGTAAGGGAACCATCATTTATATTCTAGTGTCAAAAGCTTTCTACGGATGTATTCTTAAACCAATAGTGGAAGTAAGAAGTAGTTGCTTCTACAGAACAGAAATAGGGTTTCTATGTTCTAGCATGCCAAAAGCAACTTAAGTGTTTGATCTGAAATATTTATATCTTGTTTATTAAATTGTTTTAATAATTCTCCCGTTAATTCTCTTTTAGCGATTATGCTGAATTGATCTTTAATATTTCTGTAGAAATTTCTTTTTATCTTCAAAGTAACAGTGTGACATCAGAAATGCCAAAGGATTCACCCTTTTCAGGTTGAAGCTTTATCCCTTGATATTTATCATGCTTAAGTTCAAAGCCATCACATATTTTATATTTCCATCCGAAACTATCTCCAACAACAGATGACAGATTTTTTTTATATATAATAAGCAATTTTCTCTTTAATGAAACTTGTTTATTAGCAAAGTAGCATCATATCAAGCAGGCACACAAATGATATTTCATTTAACTACTATAAAACATCAGTTAGCAATTTATTTATACAGAAAAATATGTGCAATAACGCTTTTGTCATCCCCATAATACATCCAAGATCTATGGTGTGGAGTTTGCAAAAAACCAATCCAAAAAGTGTTACAATATAACTATATATTGCGAACAATATTAACTTCAACTTTGAGGACAACTAAACAGGGCATTGGATAATTTCACTATCATTAATTTCAGCACTATGACAATGTATTGCTTGAGTAAGTATAATCAGTGTATTTAGATAAACTAACCAAGCAATTTCCAGAACCAACCTATTATAACTCTCCTTGTGGTGAGTTAGACTTTAGAATAGACTTCCCAGTGAGTAGGGCGAAACTTGTGATCATCATGCTCACTCAAAGTTATCTGTGCACTACCGGATGCCTTTGTAAATCTTGACAACTGCAATTGGAAGAAGTGCAGAAAACTAGGACAACCATCCATTATATTTTTATTGTATTCCTCTCCCATAAGCTCATTGGGAGCAACCACCACTAAAGACTCTAGAGAACCAGCCTTCTCCAGGAAAAATCTCACCAACCGCATCTCATTGCTGTGACCCTTGAAGCTATTGAGCTTTATTATCTTAAGGTACTCAAAATCAACATCCGGAGGCACCTCCTCTGATACCACCAAATATTTCTCAATGAAAGGATCACGCATGTTGGTTGGAAGCTGTAAGAATTATATCGATGAATTAGGAAATTAAAGAAAGAAGTTTATCCCATTATTCCAGCTCAAATTGATAACCAACCTCTATGAACAGTTTCTCCAATCTTGGGCATTCACATAGCCTAAAGAAGCCAAATACGTCCATTAGATTGTCATCGGTCATCATACCCATTAGCAGTTGCAACTCTCTCAAGTTTCTAAAGTTCCTGAATTCCCCAATTGCTTTTGTACCTTCAGCCATGACGCACTAGAAAGAAAGGGACAAAGATTCAAATTTTACTACAAAAATGAAGCTATAGATTGAAATAAATGCTGATTTGGCCAAGAGAAGGGAAACTGTTACCTGAAGTGAAAGATTGCAAAGGGTCAAGACCTTGACGTTGGAGAGCTCGGTGAGTGCCTTCACCCAATTGCTCCAAGGAAGGCTTGACACAGGGCTGCCCGAGCTAATGTACACATCCTCCAGTCTGTTGGGGCTATCGAACGAGTAGGTTGTGAGGTAATTTCCACTGAATCGGAAGCGCCGCAGGCTCGTAGCTGAGATCGTGACCTCCAACGCTCTTACACAGTCGATGATGGTAAGGCTGGTGAGCCGACTGCTGGCAGCCGAGATCACAATCCGCCGGAGCTTACGGCAGAGAGAGAGATCGAGCGACCGTAGGAAAGGGCAGGCGGCGACAATCCGCCTCAGGGCGGCGTCAGTGACATGCGCCGCGTGGAGGCTGAGGACCTCGAGGGAGGAGAGCTGCTTGATGTTAGAGCTAGGACTCGAGAGGTGGAGCCCCGAGAGTGTCAGCCGGGCCAGATTAGAGCACTCACAGATGGAGAAGAAGAAGGCGGAGGGGACCGCGGCGCGGTCATGCCTCCGGGCGCGCCGCCCAGGGCGCGCGGAGGTGGCAGCAGGCGACGGATGCGAGACGACGAGGCGGAGGTCCTCGACGCCGCACGAGGCGGCGTACTCGAGCCAGCGCTTAATGTCGAAGTCGTAGCGGCGGCTCGGGGGGAGGGCCAAGGAGAGGGAATCGATCCGGCGGCCGCGGCCGCGAGCGGAGAGGCATCGGTCGACGCCAGCGACGAATTCATCGCCGGCGGCGTCGCCTAGGTCGGTGGGCGGGGAGAATTCGAGGGCGGCGGGAGGGGGCCAGCGGAGGCGCCACAGGCCGCGCCACCGGGACGAGAGGGCATCGGTGCGGATGGCGTACTTGAGGGGGAGGAGGGACAGGATGTGGAGGCGGATGATGTCGGGGAGCTCGGTGAACCGATCATCGCCCCCCTGGTGGCCGGCGGATGATGATGTCGATGAGGATGAGGAGGAGGAACGGGATGCCGATGCGGAGGGGGAGGGGGGGAGGGACAGGGACAGGTCGGCAGCCCACCGGGACTTCTTCCTCTGCCTCATGATCTCTCGCTGCCTCTCTCTCTCTCTCTCTCTCTGTCTCTCTCTCGCCTCCTTTTGGTCTTCTAGTAAGGACAGGGGATGGGAGGAGAGCCGCGGCTTCCACCCATCAAGTAATATAATAGGCGCAGTGGGAACCAAAAGGCCGCAACGAATCGGTAAAGATTTGTAGGCAGGGGTTTCACTTCACGGGTTTTACTCCCCCGGAAGCACCGCCACATGACCGAATCGCGCCAGGGCTGATGTGGCTGAACCTGACACGTGGGACCCACGCCTGCGTAACACGTATCCCGCATCGAGTCTATTCAAAAAAATGCTGACGTGGAACTTTATCCTATTTTTAATTTCATTTTTATTTTAAATATTACGTTGAATAACAAATAAATTTTAATTTCATTTTTTTTGGGAAGAATCCTAACATGAAAAATAAATCTCATAAAAAATCTGATGATTAGGATTTTATTTTTTTATAAATATTATATATATAAAATTTTTGGTAATATATTTTAAATTTTTCTCATTTTTGGTATTTACATGGTGTGAACTCTTGAATTTCTAAAAACAATAAATAATTTTTTTAAATTTATGAGAGGATATACAAGAAAAATCGTGTTTGAGTTTACGATCAGAATTCATCTCATATGATAAAAAAATTGATTTGTTGCATAAGCGAAAGCTATCAAATTGTCTGATATATAATCTTTGGTTATTGATGTTAGGAGTTTTTTCTTTTGATTTTTTTTCTCTTCTTTTCCAACAAAATTGGCATATGATCGCAAGATTCAGTTTATACTTCAATCTCTTGTAGTCCAATAAAAACTAAACAGACAAAAAAAGATTAGAATAATATATTGTTGCCTTTTCCATAGAAGATATTAGACTACTTCTCTGCTCATGAAGAACACATAGTGATCTTGGAATGGGAAATGAACTCAAGCTGCCATATTTAGAATTAACACATTAAAATCAACAGATATGAGAAAAGTTGGGAGTGATCTTTATCTATTTTAATATAATCCAACATTCTGTTGATGAATATATGTTCTTGATAAATTGATTTTGATAACAGATACAAGTTATACTACTGGCACAGACTCCAGCCACATAAAGCATGAGAATGAGATGTTTCCCACTGCCATAATGGGTGGACATGTTTCATATTGCTTTATTATTTTTGTGGAAACATAGATTCTTGAATGTTGATGTGTCCAAATTCTGTTCTTGGAACCAACTTGGATGGATGTGATTAATTGGAACAGACAAAACTTAACATCTGGCTTTCCTTTATTTTTCTTTTGAGAAAAATCTTGTAGTTGGAAAGAGAGGAGTTTTGTCTCTCCAAGTTCATGTCTCTATCAACCTACATTAATATCCATCTCTGGATTTGATTGTTTGGACCTTTTTTAGATATGGGTATGAAGTGGAACTATGTTTCATCCTTGTCTGGATATTAGAATACTCAAAATGCAATAGAAATATAGTGTTCACAATTTCAGATCCAGTTTCACCTGTGGGTCAAAAAAATGAACTCTGTTTATGAATTAAAGAGTCAATGCAAGACAGTTCTACACAACTGTGTAGAAATCCTAAGCAGATTACAACAAAGAATCCAGCATGATAACTTGTATGATCAGCTCAGCAGTGGATGATTACAAAGTGACTGATGAGTGAGAACTGAGTCAATAAAATTATGACTATGAGTTTATTAGAGACCAAACTGAAAACAAGAAAAGTGCAACAACATATGCAAAGAGAACTGGTGATTCTGAGTGCTTTATTGTAGTGCTTGAGCACCTTTTGCAGTTTTACCAAACAAATTGACCTACCAATCAACACATGCAAACATAGATGGTACAAAGTTTCCTTATTGCAAAGTGGAAATATCTTGTTGGCTGCTAACAAGACATCATATGGCACAATGACAAACAGTGACACTGTTTGATTAACAAGTAAAATGAAGGAATTGGATGTGCAGCAAACTAAGCCAATAATGCATTCTACATCCAAACTTCTAGGTTTTGTTTTGTGTTTTTCCCCATCTCTGGCTGGTACAATCATTCAAACATCAGGGTTCACCTGCCTTGAGTGGCTGGCTGTCCGAGAAACTTGCTTACATATACTTTGGTTCTTATGATCTTGAAGGTATCACAACCTGATTCCAGAATATAATGTTCACTGAAAAATAGTATACTAGCATATAAAAAATGATGAAAAAAACATGCTTGTTTAGGCTTCTAATAAAGCCATAGTAAGAGTGAAATAACATTATATTCATCTCAATTTCAAGCATAAACCTACATATAAACCATATGATTATTATGTTATTCTCATGTAACCAAAATGTCAGAAGTACACATGTCCTTGGGAACCCCAAGCAGGAAAAGCCAATGACAGGATACACAAAAGAAAGAGCACACTTCAATCGTAGCAGCAGCATCTCTGTCTTTATAACAATAAATGTGTCGGGTTGGCCATGCAGAGAACCACCATGATCTAGTGAACAATCAAGCAAAGAGCTGGCATCATAGTAAAGTTCTATTTATCATGCTTCTTTCTTTTCTTGCCCCACCATCTTCTACGTGGCTTCTCACCTTCCAATTTCTGAAGTTTCCGAAGTGCTGCTTTTGTATCATGCAGACGGGCCTTGTAGTCCTTCTTCCAAGCAGCATAAGCAACCTTCAACTTCTGCAGTTCTTCAATAGGTTTTGCAACAGACCCTGATTGCCCAGATTTCACCTCAGTAGGAACATGTGCATCCACCGGAAATACCTGTTTCTGCTGCTCAAACTCTTTTGTTAAGTGTTTAGGTGGTGTTCCATCAGGTGTTCGTGCATCGGCAGGGATAGCACCTTTGGAGTCGTGACCATGAGTATATGAAGAAGTATCAAAATTTCCAGGCTGCTTATTTGTGCCATTAGCAGCTAGGCTCTTCTCTACTGCAGCTACGTTCATCTGTTTGTGCATTACAAATATGATCAATAAAACATGAATGTTCCATTTGAAATCCAGAATCATGTGCAAACTACAGAAAATCCAAAAGTGCAATCACCGGATAGATAAGATTCAATGAGGTATTACTACTTCAAAAATTTTTCCACTAAATATTCCCACTATAACAGCCTTGTTTAGGGAGTAGAGAGAATGATGTGCATTTAATCACAAAACAGAAGATTGGTCTAATTTCCTAAGCTCGGAGGAAATGATACAGCCTCAACAAACATGACAATTACCAAAAAAAAGTCACCAAAATTACCAATGAGTTCATAATAAGATTACATTGTGGTACATATTCTAAATAATGATCTTATATTTGCATAATATGTTAACACAATTAGTTGCACGTTGAAAGCATGAAAGTAGGAAGCATCTTTTAGATCACTTAGAAAGGAGAAAAGAACTCCTCGGCCTAATGTATAGTAATATTCAATCAGTTGACTTCAGCACACAGAAATTCAGAGTCATCAAGGGTGTCATTGTATCAGAAAAGTCTTTACTTTTTGATAACTGAGTAATTGGTCTCACCGTCAAAGTCTCTATCTGTTTCTTATACATCTCCTCCATGGACTTCATTTTCTCCTCACACAGTGACCACTTTTTCTCATACTGCTGAATTTGCTGTGACAATGCAACATTCTCCTCCTCTTTTTGTTTCACTTCTGCTTTTATCTCTAAAACCAGCTTCTCAAGCTCTTCCAGACTGGAAGAATGCACCTGATGTTGGTCCTTGTTCAAGGCCTGCATTCATAATCATGAAACTTGTGCAGTACTAGCATGGTGTTACTGCTTTTAGACAAAAGAGACTTTGTAATATGTTCTGTGTAGCTCACCAAGTTTAATTAGAATGAAATATGTATATGTGTGTTAACAAAACAAAGATTAATTGATTAGCCTTGTGCTCAGAATAGTTGAAAGACAAACTGCACGTGTTTCATAAAGAAATGTTACACCTGTTGACATCTATGGTTATGTGGATCAAAATGCCCTAAATCTACAGGAAAAGAATATCACATAACCAATGAAGCAGCACTGTGTTGACTGAGCATTCAACTCCAAGAATCCATGTCCAGTGCCCATAAGTAGATACTTAACTTAAGAATGACACATGCCAGATACTTTATTGTTTAAGTTAAATAACTAATATCATTTCCATCAAGAACTAAGCACCTTGATAGTTTCTTTTTTTCTTTTGTTCTAAATTTCAAATTCCTTCTCATCTAGAACTCTCTATTGTGGCACAATTTATTTGAATTAAGGTTTTTTGAGTTTGTATACATCATCATCTCATCTCTCCCCCTCTACTTGCTCATTCAAGCGGTCACTCTCTAGAGTTTGACACTTCTATAGATGTCTTGAGTTCATGTCCATGAAACACTGCATCATAGCTGTGGAAAATGATAAAAGCTATAGCCGAAACATAAAACAAATTGACATTACTTCCTTTTGTGCTAGAGTTGAATCATTTTTTGTAAGCATATCCACATTAATTTTTACTACTGCATCTGAAATATTAAAGAGCATTTTCAACGAAATTAGTAAATCTAAAACTAATTTGAAGCTTTCATGGAATTGACAAGTGTGTTTAGGCCTTACATAGGCTAAACCCTGTTACATCATTAAACACATAAATATTCCAAAATGCTTGCCATATCATATTGGGCACATGTTGATATTTGTAATCATAAAGTAATCCTTAAATACATGTCAGACACTTTACTACTGTCCATTTTTTTACATTTTTAAAAGAAGATACACTTCAAGTATTTAAAGATTACATCACAGTCCAATACCATTTGCCATAACCTCTTTGGCCGATAGAAAAAAGGTATACCAGACCAATAAATCGACTTGTCTAACCCAATATCATCTAGTAAAATGATAAAAAAAAAAAAACTATATATGTACCAGTTACATGCTATACATTTCAATACTAAGAATTGGTCGGACCAGTAAATACCATAGGTATGTATCAATTTGACTAGTATTTTGAATCTTGCTGTATGCATACTTATTTAAAAGTACTTTATCTGCAAATATCGAAATTTCTATGACTTCAATTATGTTGTATTGTCTCTTTATAGATCATTTAGACGATGGTCAATGAACTCAATATTACCATTGCCATTTTTCTAAAATGTGTTTTCAGTGCAATGTCATTATATGATATCTCGCCAAATAGATAAGCTAGAGAAAGTTTTGTTGTATACATTTTACGTAACTTGAACATTTTATATCCTACACTAATCATGTCATGATTGTTTCCCATGCTGATATCCATGCTTCGTGAGCACATCCTTGTCATGGTTACTCTAGACTAAAAGGCCAAACATGTGCTAGATTCTCCTATTAGTCATGCATTTAACAATTTTCATTACATAATTTCCAACCCTTAAAATAGTTAATCAATCTCAGCATTTACCAAATTATTCTATAATGAATATGCAAGAGATAATGCACACACACTTGTATTGTTACCACAATTTGCAACAAACTACCAAAAAATAACATAGAGGCATATCGACTCTCTCTGTACTATAATGCAAAAAATAAAAGTACCTTGGTATAGAGCCACAAGGTTCATGTTCATAGCATCTAAAAGTTACAATGTACTTCACTGATGGAGGAGAATTTTATGCACTTTGGAAATAGAAAAAGAATAATGCTCGTGCAAGGTAAAGATTATTTTTACCAACATTGGTTTTTCAAGCAATAAATCGACGAACATCAACATTACGTTACCTCCCTCTTGACATAATCATTGTGGCCACCCTTCTCATCTACTGGACCTCCCAAGGATGACTGTGAAGCAAAGGAACTTTCAGGCACTTCTTCAATACACACTTTTAACTTTTCAGCATCAGAAAAATCAAGCCTTCTTCCAAACTATTTTTTTACCTTGATTCCATGACCGAATTCCCTCGACTCTGACCTTGCCTTCTCTTTCATCACATCAGAATCCTTTGACGAAAATCCTGCCTCATTGCTCCCCATCTCAAAGTTCATGGACGTGGAGCCTCTCAAAGAAGGAAGACACGGTCTCAATGGGAGTCGGATGAGCAATGCTGGTGGGATGTCCCTCAATTTCTCCTCCCTCGGCTTGATCACATCGAGCTTTCCACTAGCATGCTACGAGGAACATAACGCCAATCTGGAGTAGCAAATCGAAACACAGTATTTCCGTAATCAGAGCACCATTTCCTTCAAATCAACCCCCAAATAACCTCAAAAGAACAGATCAAAGCAAGCAACAGCTTATAAATCCCAACGCGTTCTCCACGGAGAACCCCAGTCACTTAAACACGCGCCATATTTTCTCAAATCAGAAACGTGATTCTGTCCTTACCTCAAGGAACATTCATCAAAATCGAAACTTTGATGAATTGTTTCAGAGAAAAACCACCAAAACCCCACCAAGATCGCAGATTTTCGTCATCCCACCAAGAAATTGCCGGAGCTTAGGGTTCCTGATCCTGCGCACCTCACATGATTTAGAAAGACCAAAGAAAAAGAACCTAATTTCGGGAAGCAGCACACGACCGCTTCCCCAACAAGAAGCAACGATGGAATATGGAGATCGTCCCTCAAATAGAACAGAGACGGACTCCATCAGCCGGTCCTCCCTTCTGGTGCGACTCGAGGAATGAGGCGGCAACCTCGGGGCCAAACTAATAACTGATGGTCTATTTAAAGCGATAAAATAATAGGAATAAAAAAAAGTATTAATTTAAATATTTATTGGTGTAAAATATTATGAAAAATCGTATTTGACGTATCCATTGGTAGCTCCGATATATCTATAGTTTCTTTCACAGATAATAATGTGGAACGCTTAGTATAATCACATATACTATACGATAACAATCATATTAATACCATTAATTTAATATAAAAATATAAAAAAATAATTATTTTTAAATAATATTTTTAGATAAAAAAATTTTAAAGTAATTAATTATAAACACATACAACATCACTATCTCAATATTCTTCGATGAATCAAAATCCTAATTGAAATAATCTAAGAACCAAATTTAATTCAATTAGAATCTAACAAAATCAACCTCAAATCAACCAATCTAAAACCATTCTAGACCAATCTAATTTAGATTTGATTAGTCTCAATTAGGTCAAGTGGGCTTGAACCAGTTAAGTTGATATGGAACCATCCTAAATCAATTTGAACTAATTATGATTTAGTTAATTAACAAACTCAAACCAATAAAGAGAGGGAATTAGACTATGTTGCATAGTGGTAGCTCATATCGAATTGACCCACTTGAGTTTTAGACAAGTCACGTGCATTGCATATACATGTCTTAGGTTATAGATTGGGTTGAGATATAACAAGCTGGATAAAGGGACGATGATGTATCTAGTACCCATCGCGAGAGTGATACAATAGGTTAGGCTGAGCCTCACTCACGAGTTTAACCACATGAAAAGAGATATTAATCAATGTAGTTAGCACTTGAAATACTAAATCAAAACATAAATGTAAATCAACTTGAAAAAAAATTAGATGTGGTTTTTTTTTTTATATTTTTATTTTTAACGTAAAATTTATAATAAATTGAGGAAACTCATTCAATAAATTTTATTTTAGATCGCCATATCAAATTCTATATCCAATAAATCGTTAAAAATTTTAAATTTTAAACGTTAGTTGATTAGTTGATTGTTGATTTAAAATATAAGTTTAGGCTACATATGCAACTCAACAAATAAAAATAATTAAAAGGATGAATATTTATCCAACTATTCAATATATACTTTTTTATAATTTAAACAGCTTAGAATTAACATTATATTTAATCGTTGTTAGATCTTATCATTTCAGTAGACAAATGGTATATAATAATTGATTTGACACTTATTAAATCAAAACTTCATTCAAACTAGTTACACGTATAATCAAAATATCAATGATCAAATTTATTCAATTACAAAAGTACATATATTATTAATACCAAGAAATAATTTCATTTATACAAAACATCATTACACATGTCAAATCTTATCTCCATTTCAATAATAATATTTGACATAAAAAATCATAAGGGTAATTACTTTTCAATTTATATATTAATGAAAGACTCTACAAATTCTGGTACTTAAAATTTATTAAAAATATTATATTTGAGAGAATAATTGATAGTATGAAGTAAAAATAGACTAAGTTGGGTTGTGTTAGCTAAATAAGTTGGGTTATACTTGACTACATAGGTTAGGTTATATCTGACTACATGGGGTGGGTTGAGCTTTACCACATGACTTAAGTTACGTTTAGCCATACGAGTTATGCTGTATTTGGTTATATGGGTTGAGTCATGCATGACCATATTAGTTGGGTTATACCTAGTAATATATGTTGGGTCATACCTAATCATATGAGTTATATCATGCCTAACTATAAGGGTTGGATCATACCCAACCACATGGGTTGACTTATGTTTGATCATAGGTTAAGTTGTACCTATCCACATAACTACTTTGACTGATCACTTAACTTAGGTCAGATATCAATTTGACCTCTATTATCATATGAGCTTGGTCATGCGTAATCTCAAGCTTTGGTGTGATCAATATTCTTAAAAGTAATTTATAATATTATATAATAATAATTATTAATCTCAAATCTATTTTTTATAAAATAACTAATTTAAATTTATGATTTTAATTTTAAAAATTAATTAAATCATATAAATTCACACATAAATTCTTTAAATATAAATATATCTAATTAAATGAATTAGAACTATTATTAAATTAACTAATCATTATAATATCACAATTCAATAATTATTATTTATTAATCATAAAATTTTAAAATTAAAATATTATTATATATCATATAAATTATAATAATTTTAATATTAAAGATTTTAAAATATAAATAAAATTTGATATAAAAAATTAAAAATTATTTTCTTAATTTTAATTTTAATTTACTTTTACACATAAATATATAATTATAATATTTATTTCTTATGATTCACACACAAAAAAGTCACACCACTAATTAGAAAATAAATAAATTAATAATTTAATTGATTGACAAAATTTTTAATTATCCACATAATTAATAAAATCAATTTTAGTCTTTTTTTAAACTATACTACACAAACAATAAATTTAATAATTTAAATAAAAATATATTATTTATGATAATTAATTTTTCCAATCAAAATTGATGGGGGAGCATCAACCCAGCAAGCATCCATGTACACTCCAATTGTAACAAAAGCACTCAAAAATAAGCATTTTCACTCCATTGATAAATTTTATGACTGCAAATTCGTAATACATCATTGAACCTCAGCAAGTTGTGACCTTTTTTGCCACTTAACATCTTTACACATGAAAATGAAACCATCAAAAGACTACCAAACTGGTTTAAAAATGAAATTAATTCAAGAACTCAGCTGTGTATAATTTGATTTTTTTTTTTGTTCAAATAATAAAGAAAATGATGGGAAGAAGACAACCAAAAGAAACTGAGATCAGCACTCTGTTGTTCAATGTTTGGAGAACATGCCTTGGGTCAATGATGAGAAATCATAATCACTAAGTGAACGGTTGTTATAAGTAGATGTGGGCAAAGACGCATGAGGCTTGTTTACAGTAGTTTCTCCATTTACAGAGGCAGAGGTCCCTGGTGCTCGCCGTCTGCAAGATGAAAATTTAAGGCTCGTCAAAGTAATGTAGAACATGAAAAAGAACGCAAGCAATCAAGAGAGAGGGAGACTGGGAAGTGTTGCACATTAATCTCCAGTCTCCACAGATTGCTAATTCTTCTGGTTATTTTAAATGAAAATACAAGTATTCCATTAGTTGAGCCAACTCATTTACGAGATTGTATCACGAGAGTAACTTTTACCCCTGCAACCCATTTAATTCTTCCAAATATATCATAAAGTTTCCTAATAAGTTATTTTTTCGATTAAAAAAAAATTTTACTGTCAAGACACTCACAAACAAATATGTGTTAACAAGTTGACACTAGGGTACCCCCTCCCATTATGATTGCTCCCCTTATACTCATCTATGATCAGTAATAATTTCTATGAATATCTATCACTATCAACATATCCATCTCATTTATTCTCGACAATGCTATCAAAGGTCAAGAAGCATCAATGAAAAAGAGGGTAGTAAAAAGTTTGGCTTCACAATCTCTTCGCTTTATTTTGATAGCCCTCACAAATATCAAAGTCATTTCTACCCCTTTCAAGGAGTTGATCAATGGTATCCTTGCATGCTCCTAACACCATTTAACTGAAGATTGGCTAACATTCTCTCATTAGCAAACTTATGGTTTTACTTCTGTAAATATTCAAAGTACTAATCCACCTTAAATGATTTTTCCTTATCCTCAATTGTTATTAGTGTGTCACCATTCATTATCCCATTTTTATTGGTAATACTGATGATCCATCTCACGTCCTCTCTGCTTCATCAACTTTTTGATATGTCAGCAGATCAACAAGATGCACAAGGATCTGCAATCAATGCCGACTAGTTGGCATACATATTGTTATTGAAACTGCAAGGACTCAAGTATCAGACCTCTTGAGGTTACACTTCAACATCATAACATGAGTAGAATCGAAATTTAATAGAAGGCTTGTGACATTACGTACCTAGATGCAGTAACGGGACCATAGCTCCCAGAAGGATGGGGGCAATTCATGTTTCTCATCTGCTATAAGAAAAAAGAAAGAGAAATAAGTCAGATTTCAATGCCTTGGGAAAATACCAGTCCCTCTTAAGTCTGTTAAAGTTCATCACCTGACTTGAATTATTGGAATACAGCTGTCTAGCTAGTGGCACATTTCCTGGAACCTGATAACTGAAGTTTGCCCAACTTTGTACCGAGATGTTTCCTGTTATTGTGCTTGAGTCACTAACACTTCGTTGGTGAATTCCTCTGGCAGAAAATGCTCGATGTGCATCCCCAGATTTATCAGCAGCCATGGGAAAACCTTTTTTCTGGGGAAGGAATGGTTGCTGTTGTTGATGAAGTGCAACTGGAGATATCATACTGGACTGTGAACCATCATGTATAAGCCATTTTCAGAATAAAATTGCAGATCAAATAACAATGATACAGAATGATATTTGCCACAAATGAACAGTCTAGGAAGGTAAAAATGAATAGATTCTCAAAAAATCCTTATGAAGAATTCACAATATAATTAATATATAATTTTATAGTATATACTAAGTGAAGATATAAAAGTTCATAAAAAATATTGATTTATAACGATAAACAGAAGCATGAAAAGTTAAATATAGAACTTGGATATAGGACTATATAAAACTCAAAAAATAAAGACAACTTTAAAACCTTGGAAATCTATAATAATTGATTTGATACTTATTAAATCAAAACTATTATACTGAATATAAGTTTTTGCTAAAGAACAGGATTTTATCAAAGAGGCACAGGATATCAGTTTTTACATATCTCTGGAGTTTTTTTTGAGTTGAAGGCTGCAACAAAGATGTTGAACCATTAAATAAGTCCTTGACCCCCACTGTAGTTTCATTCTTACTTTTGACAAATTTTGCAGTGTCATTCATCTCTGAAGCGGTGGTTAATTCTGCAGCTGGAAGTAAAGAACACTGAAGTCAGATCAGGAAACCTATGATCAGCAAATGTGTTTTACCTCTAACTTATATGAGTACAAAATTAGCATTAAAGATGCATGTTGAGATAAAGTAGAAAAGAAGAGCATGAGCAGTAATTAATTTTTTGAAATTAAACATAATAATTGGGACTTAATTATGCAATAATTATGAATGAATGAATGAGAAAAAGGAAGATATAGGTTCCTTTCCAATTTTTTAAAGCAACAGTTCAGTATGACTTACACTCAAATTTTACCCATGCATTATCATCAACAAAAGATGAGTCTGACCCATTTTCACTTGGACTGTCCACAGAAAGCATGTTCAACAGATCAACGGTGTGATCAACTTTTGAAGGCATGGTTGTTGTGGCATTAACTATTGCAGGCGGTAGCTCTGGAGAGTTTGGAGAACCTACCAGGGTTCTCCCTGTTGCTACGACTGATTCAGATGATACCTGGACATGAGAAACTTTCTTACTCTTACCTCATTAAACCAATAAACTGATCCTGAAAGGGGTGAAAAGGAACTAAGGTGCAGCAATTGTAGTTCACAACAAAAAAGATTAATGAATAGAATAGAATAAAAGACACAGAATATTTGTTTAAAATAAATTTAATTAAGCATTCAAGTTTAGAAGTGTAAACGAGGAAATCTTGCAAATCTGACATACCAATCATCAATTGGTTGTAATGTAACATTTTTTTGTCTGATAATCAAATACGAGACTCGAAAAACAGATCTTCCTAAGCCATTTGTAAATTAATCACAACACTATACATTTCAAAAACTGGTAATCTCAATTAAGAAAATCTTACCTACTGCTATTTAATTAGATGCCAATGATATATGTTCACTTCAGAAATGAGGAAAAAAAGAAGACCCTGATTATGCTCATATGATTTCATAGGATCAAAGTTACAAAACACAGCCAATTCAAGAACAATATGACATTCATGCAAAACACACTTGATGTTTCATTCAGACTTCAGTATCCAAACAATGAATTGAAAAATTGACAATAGAAACCTATGATAAAATCCAGCTTTGAGACCCAAATAAAATGAAGGTTATAGTTACCAGGGAGGGTATTTTGGGAAGCACATTATTATCTTTCCTTGTTCTTTGCAGTGTATTATCCTGTTTGTCCAAGGACTTCACAATAATATTATTCTCCTCTCCATCTGTATCACTGGATTTTTGCTTATTCTTGGAAGCCATTTCTTCTTTGGCCATTAAAGATAGTTTGAACCCTTTATTCTGAGGCACCCATCTTTTTTCTTTATATCTGAAAAGTGAAGTAGTTTTGTCTACAATTAACAAACATGGAGAATGCAGAAAATATTATAATTGAAGAAATCAATACTTCGCATGGATAAAACTCTCAATCCCAACTCTGCCATAATTTGTGGGCAGTTCTGCTTCCCAGTAGCTATTTGCCTTTTCATTTCCCATCGCTTGACAACAAGATCCCAACACAAAAAAGAACTTAAATCATTTTCATACAATAGATAAAAAGAACTTAAATCTTTGGCAGAAATGATGACGACAAAAATATAAATGAATGTAGAAAGGAAAAAAGAATGGCAAGATTCTCACTTTGGATGAAAGCAACCTGCTCTGGAAGCCATGTGTCTAATGTTGCAGACCTTACCTGTATTAGAGATTAGCTATCAATAACATGCACAGACTCTGTATCCTCACATCCTCAATCATGTTATTATTGCTAGACTAAGAGTAGTGAATAGTAAAATAGAACATACCCAGTGCACAAGGGTCCACACACACACATATACATATATAAAGACAATAACTTAAACGAAAAAAATAAAGAAATGAGCAAACATGACAGACAATTAACTACACTAAAACCACGAAATCCAAAATGTGGGCAACTAAAAGTATTAGAAGACCACCATTTACGAAAAAGAAATTAGTCACATTTTTTACAGAAAGACTTTACTCAGGACCACAACAAGAAATTATAAAGTGTCAATTAGTTCGTCAATTGAATCTGGCAATCCAACCAAGAAGAAATTGACAACACTGACATCTAATTCACCATATACTATGCAATTAAACGAAGGCCAGCCAGAATATAAATTAACTTATATTGTGAGTTAAAACCCCTATCAGGTAAAAAGATGTCTTATTGCCGAGAATACTGATGCAAGAGGCAGAAATATGTGACATCCTTTTTTTTTTGTTTGCCAAAGCAATTGTTGCAATAGTCGACAGAGCAATATGCTACAAGCCTACAACTATGATAAAGTTTAGGAAGTAATTCATGACTGTTGAAATACGAATACACATTAAATGATTTGTTCAGAATGACATGATAAACAGAAAAAAGAAATTGCATGTTCCTAGCAGCGTCATCAACAATGATGTTTTGCAGGTTACATCCCTAAATAAAAAACTCTTTCTTGGAATTTCTTTTCTACTTCAGAACAAGCAAATATAAATATAAAAAATGCATTAGTAGCACTACAAATAAATTCTGACCTTTGATATATGTACCCCCAAGCTTCTATGGATTCCAGAACATTGCATGCAAATAAAAATTCCCAGATTCACGCTTGCCCACCGTGGACCTCTGCAAAATGGTGAATAAACATTAGATTCAATGAAAAATATAAACACAAAGGACTGAAAATTAAAGTTGTCTTGTACCATAAGAAAATGAGGCATTCCTAACAATGCACACAGTGGTATGATACTGCATGCTGACTTACAAAAAGGAAACTAGGACCAATGAATAAAGCAACATGTTCTAGTATTGTACTTTTACAGTCAGAAAGCAATTTTCTTTTGAACAAAACCTTAAAAGTTGTATCTAGTACATAATCAAAAGCTTTAAATGTAAATAATTCTGAATCTGACAAAAATCTAAGTATACAAATTATTTATACTCTACATGAAATGCTCCCTTGCAAGTTGAAATTAACAGGGGCATTATTTGATCCTAAAAACACAGAGATAATGATATTATCTAGCCAAAATTCGAATACTGTGAAGTAAAATGATGCATACCTTAGATTCAAATTCATGATGTTATTTTTCCAACTATCTAAAGAATCACAAATGTAAAAGGTAAGAATTCAAATGAATTTCGTTCTAGTTACATATCAAAAGAAGATTATAGTTTGGTAAAGACACCGTGAGTGGCAATAGCATATAATGAAGACATGCACACGCAACATATGTAAATCTGAGATTCTATATAGGTTTTTTTTTTTCCCAACTATCCTTACAAGTTCAGCATTCTATATTCTTTCAAGATAATTATGCCAATTTAAATTAACAAGTCCAGCATTATGCTGATATATTTTAGGTATATTAGGATTCAACATCCCTATACTGGAAACTGGAAAGACTATCTAAAAGAGACAATTTCCATCTAGGTCAATGCAAATTAAGCTGCTGCCTTATTTTCTTTCTAGCAACTAAACAATGTTCAATCAAAAAGCCCGAGAACAGAGAGAAATTATCCTGCGATGCATAATAGTTGTCTCCACAGTTTTGCCATTACAGCATTACCACACAGGATAGTTCAATCCATCAAACAAGAGTTGAAAAAATAAGTTGACTTTCAACTATAGACATGAAAATTTTCAATTGACAGGAAGCAATTGGCAAGTTAGTCTCACGTTATGGAAATAATTAATCATGAAAAGGAACAAAAATCTTGAAAGCACAATAAAAATTGGAGAAAGACAAGCCAAAAGCTCCATGCGGTCTTGGAGTTCTACATACAGTTTTGGTGGTCCAAAATCTTCTAGAAACAATCAAATCACATAAAGTTGTACAACTATATCATGCCAGCAGAAAACAGTTGTGGAGATTAAAGATTTTATGGAGTACAATATAAAGCCATCATTTCATATTAAAATGATAGCAAAATAACTTTAGTAGCTTAATTTTCAGAATTCTCTTAACTGCATAATATCTAGAAAATTTAGTTTGTTAATTGTCTCTTATTGAAAGAGCAACATGTTTTAGGATCTGTATTACATCAGTTTCTTGCAGCTCAAAACCTGCATGCTCTTAATCAAAACCTGAGCTTGCAATGATGTAACTTTGATCTTCCAGGAAAGTTGATGGACAACCATATTCATCATCCATGAGAAATGCATATACCAAAAGTTTAAGGGAAGCAAAGTACCATGTCATGATAATAACCACTCTGCTTATGGTATAATACCATTATATTTGATCCTTCCTAGACCCGCATTAGCAAGAGCCTCATGAGTTTGGTCTTGCCATTTTATATAATTTAATCATATCATAGAGTGAAGAAAGCTTGTACTACAACTTGAATCGAGACAAAAGTGTTGGAGGCTTGGAGCAGCAATACTAATTACTAAATGTGTAAAAACAGGTTAAATGTGTAAAAATTAAAGTGAAAGTTTTAAAAAATAACCCAACGGTATGCAAGCACTGTCCTAAGCGTATTCCTCAACCTCGTACAAGTGTCATCGATGAGATGCCTAAGATACAATCAGGATGATTCTTCTACGAGCATGATCGTGAAGAATCTGAAGACGTTCCGCACTAGTAATAAAAAACAAACAGAGGAACTGAGGAAAATGAGTGAAAATGAGAAAACTTCTCTTTTTTTTCTTTCTTCCTCTCTTTCTCCATTTTTTTTTCAGAATTTAGGCAGAATTTTAATGTGTTTTTTGATGCACAATGTTGGCTAGGAAGTGGTTTATTTATAGCCAATCCCAACCAATAAGTACCATGTGGCACTATGCAGACACAATGTGATTTATTTATTTTTTTCATGTGGCACGCACTCGCACGGCACATGGGTGGACATGCGTGAACGCCACGCTCGCACATGGCACCCAGCTATGCATAAGCCCACTTGCGGCATGTAAGTGGTACTTGTGCAGCAGCCATTACTATAGTAAGGGTAAATGGCTAATTTTATAATTATTTAATATGTTTATAAAATAAATTAAATATATGACAATCTTAAGGCTACACATAAATTTAAGTCATCAAACCCAAATATATATGAATGAATTTAGGCCAATCCTATTTTTTAATCTTTTTAATAAAATTTCTGAAGCGAGAGTAAAAGAGTTGAGGGAGAAGTCCCTCAACTGTCAATGTAGGACTAAAGTCTTTAAATATAGTGAAGGAGAATTTGGATTTTTTTTGCCTTCAAGTTCCAACATAAGTTAGTACTGTTGTCCAATGAAAAATTGTTAAGATAACACCTTAGCAAAATCTTTGGATAATGTTGGGTTTTAAACTTGTTAATTCTCTCGATTGAAGACTGAAGACAAAAATCATGAGACTCCTTAATTCATAGAAATTAGAAAGCAAAATCAACTAAGATACTGGATATAAAAAACCAGATAGTTTTAAGCAACCCTAGCATCACATACCAAACAGAAAAAACCCATGAACCGTTTGTAGGTCCCTTACAAGCATAAATATTACTAGTGTCAACCAAATTAACTGCTTCAAGCAATAATAGTCTTTTGTTATAAGATTAAGACTTCTCAGATGGTTGCATAAAAAATAATATTGCACAAATTGATCGGATCAATCTAGCTAACTCCAAAAACAACAATTTTAGCTTAAATTCTTACTTGGACTTGCAATCAGCACATTCCTTGTTCTCTGGCAATTTGAGAAGCCCCTCCAATATCTGCAAATAACAAGATCAGAGAACATGTAACAAAAGTAGAAACAACCTTAATGTATATACAAATGTCACAGTTTTCTATATCGAAGCCAAATGATGAACCAAGGTGGAAACAGAAACCAACAGCTGAACTTACTTGAGGTTGAGTCATGAGTGTTCAATTTATAAAAGGAACTGGCAGGGTATTGGTCTAACCTAAAATCTTCAGTTTCTAATGTTTGTCTCTACAATTCAAGTTCAGAAATAATTGCAACTCAACTGACGGGCAACAATGTACGGTTAAAAAAACAAAAAAAAGAAAAGAAAAGGAAACCTTTTTACATAAAGTCAGCATGCAATAGACGAATGTACACAAGGCCTCTAAGATGGCAGTAGCCAAGAAAATAGAAATATTTGGATGTTTCCCATATCCTGCCGAATCGTCGATCCCAACGTCATTGGATGAAAACTCACACCATTCAAAATGGCTCCTTGAGGACGATCGAAATATTTGCCGCTAGTACTAAATGCCGAAACAATCGAATCACGTTCCAGTAAAAACAACGAGCAACAAAGGTCGAAAACGAGGGATATACTTATGATTCACCGAGCAACAAACGGGCACCGGAAATCTCTGATAGCTCGGTCAAACGGCAAAGGTTAACTACAAAGAAGTTAAGGAATCGAAGAGGATGACAAACCTTTCCGTGTTTTTCATCGAGTTCCTTGGAGACGGAGGCCTTCCCGTTCATCCTGTCGCTCCCCCGTTTGCCTCCCGGAACTCTCCAAGGTTCCAAACGAGGAAGAAGGGGGAGAGAGAAAGAGAGAGATGGCGGGATCACTAAGCAAGAAGAAGCGATGAATCTCCTCTTTGCTGTCGATTTATAGCGAAAGGTATTCTTTTGCAGGGGGCGAACCAACGTGCTCTACTCGATGGTGTTCGGAGGTGGTATTTGATTCCTAAACGGCTTCGCTAACCTAACCATTACGTCCCCGCTTCATTTACCTTCCTCGCGGTTGAGGTTGCTGCGTATGTGGGTCCCGGAAGAACCGGCTTTACGAGTCCGAGTCAGGTGGGTGAGTCGGTAGCGAGGAACGAACGAACAACGGAGAGAGGCGCTTAAACTAAATGAAAACTTGAGTTTACATATCTACCCTTCGAAGTTTCGAAATAGTGTTTATTTGCACCTTTAGATTTGAATACAGTAAACATACGGCATATATACGTAAGATTTTTAGTTGGATAAAATTATATATGTTCAATTTAAATGACATAATAAAAATTTTAATTCGGTTACTACAAATTAGGGCTGTATAATGATATTTACTCGAAATATACTAAAACTATTTATAATTATTATTTATATTGGATATTAACAATATGCAGAAAGTCTTAATATTTAAAGGTATATATATATATATATATATATATATATATATATATATATATATATATTATTATCATTATTATTATTATTATTATGGCCTGGTTTTGTAGCTCATTCGCCGGCCCGCTCTTTACCGGAAGACCGGAGGAGGTCGCTACCCCAACAGCGAGGCATTGCGGGTCGATTGGCGCTTGCGTCGGATTCCTCCTCATGATGCTCCTCCGCCGCTGCGGCGAACCTCGTGCCTCGGCGGGGCCTTGCCGGTGGTGGAGGTACATCTCTTCTCCGCTCCGATTCCATGTCTTTCTTGCGCGCGCTCGTCGGTTCTTGATTCTTATCCTTTATGATTCGATATTTCTTATTATTTGTAATCGTTCCATTATGTGGTACCGACTGATTAGAACATCGGGGCTTCCGCGAGTTTGTACTCTGGGCGCCATTTGTTTCGTTTCCGTACAAAACCCAAGTTTTTATCCCTTATAAGGGAAATGCTTGTAATCTATCTCTTTTTTCTTAATTTAATCTACTTTCTATTTCGTACATTAGGGTTTTTCCACTCTCGTTAGCAAATTCATAAGGAAGGAAAGAGAATAGAGAAAAAGCCAAGGGAAAAGAAAAGGAGAAGGAAACGAGGGAATATCGAAGAGAACACCACTTTCATTCGCTTGTTCGGTAACAAAGGGGACGAGAGATGATCACTTAAAGATCTTCCTTTTCTCCTCACTTTTGAAGAGAAAGAAAAAGGCGTTTGGAGCAAGATGGTTCCTTTCATCTTTTCATTTCTCTCCACTTCTCTTTCATGTATTTTAACTAGAGAAAGTCTCTCTCCAGTTTTCTTTTCAAGCCATTGTTTCTACAACACTGGATTCAATCATAGCTTATCTGATAAAATTATTCTATGCGTTGATTACATCCCTTTGCTTCCTTTTTCTTAGAAAAAGATATTTCTTTGATAACAAGTCTCTTTTATTTTTTATTATGCTATTTGATTACTTATTTTTTTCCTTACTCTTTTACAGATCATCAGGGACCTCCTAAGGTTAACATGCGGGAAGACCCACTCAGTCCATCTAAATGGAAGGAAGAACATGTGAGTTTTATATACCTAGTTTATATTTCTTAAGGTGTTTGAGTGGTAGGTTACAAGGAAAAGCTATTGGTTACAGTTAAATTTCCTTTATGAAGATTTATTTTCAATGTTAACTATCCTAACTACATTTATTAGTCATTCCTGTAAGCCGCTACACGAATTTGCTTAGATTGTTCTTTATTATCATGTAAAGTTGAACTACATCACCTATAACATATAGAGGCTTTTAAGTGTCATGTGTAAAAAAGGGCATAAAGATTTTGTATATATCTTTTGTTTGGGAAGCATTTTAGAATAGAAAAAGGATGTTTTTTGAAGATTTTGATGCATAAATATTTGATTTGGTGGGGGCATATAAGAGTTTTTAAATATTTAATCGATACATGGTATATTTGCATTTAGAAGGCTGTATTGGATACTGGGTTGCTTTTTGAAGGAGTACAACATCACTTTTTGCCTTCATTATTTTGAAGTTAATCTACCTCCAATTTCTATGAAATGAAATAATAAGAAACTAATGTTTACTTATATAACTATATGTAACTATGACACTGTTCCAGATTTCATTCAAGTGAAAGAATATTTTTATGTTCCGTTCTAGAACGTTCTAGATGAAAGAAAGTGACTAGACTTTAATTTGTATTATGGACAACCTAAAGAAACTTCATTTATATTTTAAAATTTAAAAAAGATCATATCCATTTCGTATGAGCAGAAATACTGGGATGAATCAAAAGATTCTGCACCATATAACTTACGTAGATGTAGACAGACCCTACAAATTAAAGTTGTCATAATTTTTTATCAAGTTTTATTACCATATTCTAAGAATTTTACATAATATCTAGATTGTATGTTCAAATAATCTTTAATATTCATAAAACATATATAAATGATAATAATTTAATATATGAAATGATAACATATCAATTCATTATGAAACTCATATATTAGAAAAACAATGATAATTCTTATATAGTAAATAAAATCATGCATCAGTCATATATAATACATCGCGATAACATACATAACAGTTAGATAACAAAGACGTACATCACACTTGATGGTGTACTTTTCCAACAGCAGATTAAGAGTCATACTTTACGAGATAGATTTCTTCTAACAGTAAATGGAGAGAACCCATATCGTACTTCCAACAACAGATGGAATGTTATTCCTCACTCATCCAAGTGAGGACACATTTCTCCCAATAGCAGATGAAGGAATCATTTAATCATCACATATAATAGCCCGCTAATCTATGAAGGAAATCACCCTACTTGTCTTTCATAGGGATACATAAACAATTATGATTATTAATTTATATTCATTCATGTATACATCCAAGAAGTAATATGATAAAATATTAAAAGGGATCATGTTTTATGTATGACCTACTAGATTATGTCTATTGGTGGCCCTATATTGTGATGGGCCCGTAGCTTATTTCACATGTTACACTTCCAATATAGACTACTTAGCATAGTCACATATACTAAATGATAACAATCACATCAATATCATGATCTAAAAAGTAAGTATTAATAAATAATTATTTTTAAATGATATCTTCAGATAAAATTTTTAAGTTCATCAAATCATAAATATATGAGGCATCAATCTCTCAATAGTCCTTAATTAACCAGAACCCTAATTGGAATAGCCTAATTAGCTTGAACCAAACTTAATTCAACTAGGATCTACTGCAACCAACCTCAAATTCTTATAGAACCGGTTTGGAATTATCCTAAACTTGTGTAATTTAGATTTAATTGATTTTAATTAGGTCAACTGGGCTTGAATCGATCGAGTTAGTACTTGAATCATCTTTAATCGATTAAACCTATCTAATTTAGTTAACTAACAATCTCAAGCTAATAAAGGGAGAGAAAATTGGACTATGTCGCATAATGCTAGCCCAGACTAAATTGACCTACTCGAGCCTTGGACGGGTCACGTGTGCCACACATGCTTGTACCAAGTAGCAAGTTGGGCTGAGGTACAATGGGCTGGATAGAGCGACGACGATATGTTCAGCACCAATTGTATAGTTGGGCGGGCCTAATTTCGTGGGCTAGAGCAAGCCTCACTCACGATTTAGGCTGAGCCTTACTACTGAATTGGGTCATGCCTCGCTTGTGGGTTGGTCATGCCTAGCCATATAGGTTGCGTTATACTTGACCATATGGGCTAGGTCGTGACTAGCCACATGAGATGGATCATACTTGGCCACATGAGCTGGGTTATGCTTGGCTACATGGGTTACGTCATACATGGCTTCATAGACTGGGTCATACTTAGTCACGTAGGTTGAACTGTACTTAGCTATAAGGGCTAAAGCATACTTGGTCACATGAGTTGGGTCCTAACCACATCTGAACCGTTTTATTAAATTAGATTTTAATATTTTTAATAGTATTTTAAAATATTATTAAATAACAATGAACCTCAAATATATTCTTCTTTATAAAATAACTAATTTAAATTCATGATTCCAAATTTAAAACTAATTAAATCATAAAAATTCACATATAATTCCTTGAAACATAAATATGATTACTTAAATGAATTATAACTATTATTAATTTTAAATTAACTAATCATTTTAATATTATAATTCAATGATCATTTTTTATTAATCATAAAATTTTAACATTAAAATATTATTATGTATCATACAAATTATAAAAATTATTTTTATTTTGCTTTCACACACAAAAGATAGAAATGCAATATTTATTTTTTTATAGTTCACATACAAAAATAGAATTTGAACTATTCATTTTCTAAAAATCATATCACTCATTAGAAAATTAATTATTTAATTATTTAATTGATTAACAAAATTTCTAACTTGTCCACATGATTAAGGAAATCAATTTTAATCATTTCCTTAATCATACTATACAAACAAGAAAGTTAGTAATTTAAATAAAGTAACACATTATTTATGATAATTTGATTTATGTTAAGGGAGAAAAAAATCATCGATCATTACATCCCCTCATTCTCCTCTATCTAGAATGAGGCTTTAGTGTTGTTACTATTCGTGCAAAATTTAGTGTATGGCCCATAAGCAGATTTGAGTAGGCGTAGATATACAAATCTTTACGAGATTGTTTCCTTTCAAATTGATGCAATATAGAGTAGGCATTAGCTGAAATCTCGACTCTAATTTGATATTGAACTAATGTGAGCATATATATATATATATTGATGCAACAAAATAAAGTTGACAAAGGATAACCATAGATAACCAAAGCCAGTAAATATGGTCTTTTAGTATTCCAGTATCAGTATCAGACCAATGTAATACCTTGGAACCAACTTCCAGATTTCATGACAAACATATTCAATATTGTACTGTCTAGTGGCCATGGCATCATATGTATCAACTGGCATGATCCAATAAAACTGGCATATAAAATCTATCTTCGGAACAAGGATATTCTCCTTAAGCATAGCTATTCTCTTATTTGCACACGAAACATGCACTATCAATCTCATAAATCAACAGGATCAACTTGTTGAATGCTTAAAGTTTCACTACATCTTTTACAATTTTAGCTGAATCAAATTTCTTTGGCAGGTGGGTGAAAAAATGGTGCACTAGATTTGCCAGGATGCCCAGCCTTTCCATTAATTCAAAGTCCCTTGCAATAAAGCATCAGAGAGACATGGCTTTCCTTGGAGAAATCCGAAGTTATGGCTCATCATTTGGGAAATCTGAGAGACATGGCTTGCAATAAATCATCTGTAAATTTGTTGGCTGCCGATGTAGGAGGGATTTTGCAATCCTCGGAATAACCACAATCCTATTGAGTTGCAACTATTATTTGCCTTTGGCACTCGACCTTCTTATGGTTTGTACTTGATGTAAAGCTCTTTTCTTGGTTCATGATTAAATGTCTCTGTTAAATGGAAAATTCACAAAAATATTACAGTGCATGTGTTTCCAAAAATTATGTGATACAATTATGTTTATTTGAGCAGATTCTTTAAAGCAGAGATGAACATTTTGCATGTTATACAATCTGTGCCTCACTTCCAAGAATTGTTTGCATATTGCCCTCCGTGTTGATTAATATTTCCAGGGAAAGATGAGATAGTTTTCTGTTCCAGAGTCATTTGTTTATGTAATAACATCCTCTTTGTGGATTTGCAAATTGGAATGGCTATATTTCCCAAATAAAAATATTATTTAAATGATCAGCAGAAATGTCAAAGATAAATGTAAGAGCCTTATCTTTATTTTGAAACAATTTTTGTGATTTAAATGATGATCATCCAATTCTTTTCCCTACAACTTATTTCTTCAAAGATGAGCTTCCTGTCCTTTTACTTGTTTGCTTAGTCCTACTGTGACTCAATTGCAAGTCAGCAACTAAGAACAAGTTGAATCTCATGACTCAATTGCAAGAGTCATTAAATGGATGTATAATCCAATAACTCAAAATATAACATGCCTTTGATCACATGAATTACAGTGTTTGAGCATAAATTGCTGCTGCTAGATCCATCAAATTTTGCATACCACATAATCCATCATCCACTTCCCATGTGGAATAAACCAGGTAAGCAACTACATTTTTTTGAAGTTTCATAGTAAAATTTTTGTTTATTATTTCCAAGTCCCTCTTCAAGAACAAGCACAAATGATAATTTTTCTCAATAAATTTCATCCATATAATAAAATAGTCAGCTTGCTTTGCAAGAAAAGTAACACTCATGGCAAGTAATAATCTTTCTAAATGGTAATTCTCTGAGTTCCTGAAACTAATATTCTCAACTATTCTCTACTGATAGCCAACATCATAAATCCTTTATAAGCACAAATACCAAAATTGATAAACAACACTGATACTCTATAATCGAAGGGCTAATCAAAGTTATTTGCTTCATATTTTGGCCTTGCTGACATTTCATCAATATATAACATAATTATACAACAATAATAAGATTATAAGTTTTAACTATTTGGGATCAGTTACGTGCATCTTTTGTCAGATATATAAAAAATCATATATTTAGTTAATTTCAGAATACTTAAATCTTTATTTATAGTTTTAATTAAAAATATTTTTATATCTTTCTCAACCTTTTCTCGTACCATTAACATTAATATTTATTTATAGATCAAAGGACTCCTTAGCATATGTTTATATCATCTTAAATGATTTTTTTCTCATCTTATTCTCTATTGAAACGATAACACAATTATACATACTCTAATAGATTATTTTGTATATTCAAATATACAAATTATACATAGTTTTAGAGCATGACTCTATAAACTATCTCTAGTTTGTATATTCAAATTATTTTTCGATTTGCAGGGATAACCTATTGGACCACCTTTTACTTTGACACTCAACAGATCCCCTTATATGGTACTTCAAATCATGTATTTGCAAGTTGAAGATATTATTCTTTAAGTTATATATCTTTTCTGTATATCCTTTAATTTCTGGACCAATATTGATTATTGATAGTTGACCTCCTTCCAAAATTCTAAATCACATTTTACTTGTCTAAGTATTTGTTGCATGAGCAATATCCAAAAAAAAGGTGACCAGCAAGTTTACAGTAATCTGCACTTAATATGAGAGTGCCAAATTGAATAACTGAACCAGCACACATACAAAAAAAAGTTCTCATCAATTCAGAAAGATAGATCCCTTGGACTGGTGTATATTGCAATATATGCAAGAAAGAGTATAGAAGATTTATTTACATAGTTTCATGTAACTACAAATATACTAGCTGAACAATTGAACCAGCATATATGCAAAAAAATCTAGTTCTCATCAGTTCAAAAGAATGGAACACTTGGATTAGTGTACATTGCAAAATAGAAGAGTACATAGGGTTTCTCCACCTAGTTTCCACGTGTGTTCGGTTGAACACGATCGCAGATGAGGCATGTGCTCCGAGGAATCTATGTTAGTAAATGGGTGTCGTACATGGATGAAGCATACTAAGACCAAATTTTCTGATGCATGGTTTGGAGTTTCCGATTCCGGCCTCTTCGTGCACCAGAAATGCTAATAATCAAGGAACTACCAAGAGCACATGTATCAGTATAACCCATCAATTTTATGCCGAACTTTTTGCACAACAATTCTAATCTACCCTTGTCATTGTCACTCACCATTTTCATTTGGTGTGCTTGCTCTCTAGATATAAGAGCATATAGATAGAATTCTTGAAGCGGTGGTTCTGATGATTGCCTATGCTCATCAAGTTCTTTTCTCGAGCTGTAGTTCCCAAAGGTGACTCTCATCAGACCTAGTGCTTTTGGGTCCTCAGCTTCAGAAGGATCAAATACAAACGAGAAGACTCCAAATGCTAAATCAGGCTCCTTGAATAAGTCTGCAAGCACTTCACTGTATGATCTTAAGTTCTTCTGAGACAACTTTTTAGAATCGGATTTTCCCATAAAATTTTTCCTCCAAGTCTGAAGAATGCATGAAGCTTCTCTTAGACCGCTAAGGAAGGCACCATGCATCGTTGCTGGATGTTCTCTATTTGTAGCTTCCCCTGCGAAAAATAGCCGACCCCCAACATTCTCTGCAAGGATATTGTAATCACTACCCGATGACCCAACTCGGACATGAGAGTATGAACCACAACAAAGGGGGTCGCTACCCCATCTTGTACACATTGTTTGAATCGGATCAGGCACAAAAACTCCTTTTGGACCATAGATACCTGCATTTTCCAAAAACCTGTTAAAGACTTGAGGTGTTAAAGTCGAGAGCATCTTCAACAATATTGACAAGCATGTAAAAATGTGTGGGTAAATTGCTAAGCTACAACTCACTATTGGATTTACACAAGTTTAGCATCATTTATCAAGTCAGAGCGAGTTTCAGATGATTCACTTTGCTAAAACACTAAAACATTGACAATATGACTGGTCTTAGACTTGGTGATTAGTGTTTACATGAAAGCTCAACAAAATATACTGTCAGCACAACTGAAACAAAATTATGCTACAAAGACAGTACCTCTAAGAATGCCAAGAACACTGTGAAGTGAAGCTACAGGATCGCTATGTTCAAAATTTAAGGCAGCTTCTCCTGCGACCAATGCGATGAGCACTGCACCTCCAGAAACAGTATGATAGCCATAGAAAAGGAAAAATTCACCACGCTTAGATCGATCCTTGCTGAGACATCCAAATGTGTCGATCTCCTCACCCCAAAACACATAAGGAAAGATCATAGCAACCTTGTTTAGCAAGCCAAATCCCAATCTTTGAATTGCCTGCAATTTCTGAGCAGGCAATTCTGGGTCAAATTTGATAGTCCCACTCTTCAACACGCCGAGTGGAACGGAGCAGAGCACCATATCAGCCTGAAAGACTTGTCCACCGGCAACTACCACCTCCACAAACCCTCCTCCATAAGCAATCCTTGTTACCATCTTCTTGTACAGGACAGGCACATCCTCACAGAGTGCATTGATCAATCTCCAGTTACCTCCAGCGAGGAAGCAGTGATCACCACCCATCTCATATGGATCATCCTGGTCCCAATGGGCAAGCGACAGATCCGAGAGGCAACCAGCGTTGGCGTACTCCAAATTAGCGAGGTGCCAATCAAGAAGCTCCCTCTCCTCGGTCTTCCTCGCCACGCCATACAACAACTGAAGACGCTCGATGGCTGAACCCAGCGAGATACCGTCGGCGGACTCTCCTAACACCTCCCTCACTCTAGCAGCGTTCTCGAGAAGCTTGTTGAACACCAAATCCACCTCAACGTCCAAACTCCGGTCCACATGGCCTCCGTCCGGCCTGAAAAGAGGGCAATAATCTCTAATCTTGTGAAGAGGTATCCCAAGCTGCCTCGCCAAGACGCCGAGCGGGTTGGCGTGAATGCCGGTGATGACGCTGCCGCCGAGGTCTACAGATGCAAAATTGCCTTGTTTGCCCATCTTTGTGGTGTAGACTCTGCCGCCCGGCCGGTCGCGGCCCTCCAAAACCAAGACTTTGAAGCCGAAACTAAGCAGCTGCCTCGCCGCCGCGAGCCCCGCGAGGCCAGCGCCCACGATGATCACGGATCCCTTGTCGTGCTCATCGAGGAACTGGGCCCTGACGGCGGGCGACACGCCGAAATTGATGTATCCGTGCTCCAAAAGGAAGTCGTAAGCGCTGGAGATCAAGTGGTCGTACTGCCTGCTGACTGTTTCTTTGATTTCGGACTTGGAAAGGTAGGAGCGCACGTTGGCGCGCCACCGGGCGAGGATGTGGTTACGGACGACGATGTAGTCGTTCCGCGCGGCGGCGTCTCCGGGCGGGTGGACGACCCCCGCGGCGGCCTCGGCGTCGAGGAGGGCGTCGATGGGGAAGCCCAGGGAGAGGGCAATCATGGCCTCGGTCTCGGTCTCGCGCTGGCGCTCCTCCGCGGTGCGGTTGCGCCGGCGAGGGGGGCGGGAGCCGCCGAGGTGGTCGTGGAGAAGGGCGTCGAAGACGGACTCGTCATAGTTGGTGCGCTTCGCCGCGCGCCGCGTCGGCCGGCGCCCGTCGGTCGGCGGCGGCGGCGGTGGGTGGTCCATCGGCGAGGGTTTGGATCGGAAAATGCGGGATCTTGGCGACGCTTTGTATGCGCGGCGAGGCACGAGGGGCGCATTCGAAGAACGAGGCGGGGTGAGGTTGGGTGCGGTCACCTGCGGTTAACCTAAGGCCGCAGTGCGCCCCCCGGTTCTTGCAAAACCAGGTTGCATTTACAACCCCTCCATAAAAAGGGCCGCTTTCTTGCGTCTTCTTTTAGGGGACAGAGAAGGCCGGGAAGAAGAACCCGCGGGATTCCGCTTACAGCGTCCGCCTTCTTCCTCTGAGGAGAACTGCCCGAAGAACTTATAACAGGTTCTGTTCCTTGCCCTTGAACGATTTCTCGAACTTCTACACATTTGTTGATTTGTGTCATTGAAACAAAGATATGGAAGATCTAGGGTTTTGGGTTATCTTCTGCTCAAGGCTTTTCTGTTTTTTTGTTCGATAGTACGGCCCGTATTTTGTTCTTTTATTCTCTCTTCATGTCCTCTTTGCCTATGTTTACTGATTGAGACGAGGATCTACTGTGACCATCACTGCCGGAACTAAGCGCACAAGATCTGTTCTTGGCCTCAGCCAGTTAGCCTCTAAGCTCACACCTAGAGAAAACATGGACCATGTTTGAAGCAGTGTTGTGTTGCTGTCGTTTCACTTGATATGTGATTATGACAATTAGGTGTCTGATGGTTCCGTAATCACAGAAAAGAAGAAGAGGAGGGCTTGGATGGAGAAATCTTCTTATACATATTTTGTGGAAACCCAGTTAAATACTCCACTTTCATGTGTTCAAATTTCTTCCTCAAGAACATTTATTCTCTTTAGTTGTGACAAAAAATAAAGACTATAGTCACTTGAGATTCTTTGTTGAATATTGTTAGCTGTATTAGATTGGTGCATTGTGTAATGCAATGTGCTATTTCTTGCTCGATCATATAAGAAATTGTATCTTATTTAGTCATATTAACTGGGCCATTGTGTTAGGTTGGTTAGCTCATAATTTTCATTCCTTAGGAATGAACTTGGGATGCCATGCAGCGAATTAAAAATATTGACGGAAATCATGATGCAAGCAAGTAACTCTTTTGGAGGCACTAAACAAATTTCCAATTAAAATTTGAAAGTTATTTGCTATTTGTCTTTAACTAGTATTATTATGATGTATTCAATGAAGTACTGCACAGAAAAGATGCTATGTTTGTGTAACTTGCATAGACAATAATGAAGACAATACAGGAAACAATGACAAAGTAAAGGAAGACTTACAGACCTAAAAAAGGATTCAATTGAAGAGTCCAATAACTAGGAATGTACTTTCTGCATTTGCCATGCTATTTAATACTTGAATTGTCATACAGGCCAAGGAACTGCAGGTTGCTGCTTACCTATTAGACCTCAAGGATTGCCTTTTTGGGTACTAGATGCGTTTCAGTAATTTGCCGGAACGGTACATATCGGTCTGTATTGGTGTATCGATACATGGTATGTCGGTGCGTACTAGTGATTTGGCAAGGAAGAAAAAGAGAGAGAAGTGGAAGGGGCGGTGGAGGAACAAAGAAGGACAAAGAAAGAAGAAGAGGAGAAAAGAGAAGCAGTAGTGTCCTTATGAAGCAACAAAGGCAACAATGAGACAATGAAATCATCAAAGCGGTAGCGACAAGGAAGCTCGAAGCAATAGTGGTGAAGCAACAATAGTGAGGTGACAACATCTTATGAGAGAAGAGGGCTCATAAACTTTTTCTTTTTCCATTTTAACGCTGATTTGGATAGGGCCCCATCATTTCTTTAATTTTTTATTAATTTATCTGGATGCCAAAACGAGGTGGTCTACGTATCACCCCACACCTGGACCGATATGTATTGCCCATGTCATACCGTTTTGGGCAATACAACAAACGTTGTTAGATAACGTTAGACCAAATACAATAAATAGTGATATTTATGAAGACATAACATAGAACCATAAATCAGATTTTTTAAAACCTATTTGGAACATAGGCATGAGAGGTGAGGCTATTACATTAGACTATTGTAATCACCGATGATTTTTTCTCCCTTGAAATAAATTAAATTATCATAAATAATGTGTTGCTTTAACTAAATTATTAACTTTCTTATTTGTGTAGCATGGTTAAGGAAATGATTAAAATTGATTTTCTTAATCATGTGGACAAGTTAGAAATTTTATCAATTAATTAAATTATTAATTGATTTATTTTCTAATGAGTGATATGATTTTTAGAAATTAAATAATTTAAATTTTATTTTTGTGTGTGAACCATAAAAAATAAATATTATAATTCTATCTTTATATATGAAAGTAAAATAAAAATTAAATTATTGGTTATCTTTTGGAGAGAAATCATTTTCTCCTATACAAAGGGGGCTTCCCTTCCCTAGGAAAGGATTCCCCAAAGAGAGAGATCCTCTATTTTTTGTTACCAACTTTTATTCATATTTTAAAATCTTTGATATTAGAATTATAATTTGTATAATGCATAATAATATTTAAATTTTAAATTTTTATGATTAATAAATAATGATCATTGAAATGTGATGTTAGAATGATTAGTTAATTTAATAATAATTTTAATTTATTTAATTAGACATATTTATGTTTCAAGAAATTATGTGTTAATTTTTATAGTTTAATTAGTTTTAAATTTGGAATTATGAATCTAAATTAGTTAATTTATGAAAAAGTGGATTTGAGGTTAATTGTTATTTTGTAATATGTTAAAATACTTCTAAAAATTTTAGAATATAATTTAATAAGAGGAGTCAAATTAGGGTCTAACCTGAGTTAAGTTGATTGGTTATACTAGCCCATGTGGTTAGGTACGACCCAGCCCATGTGGTCAGGTGTGACTCGGCCTATGTGATAACGTACAACTCAACCCATGTGATCAGGCATGGTCCAGCATGACTCAACCCCTGTGGCCAAGCACGACTCAGCTCATATAGTCAAGCACGGTTCAGATCAGACATGACCCAACTCATGTGACTAAGCATAACCCAACCCGTAAGCCAGGCGTGACCCAATTTAGTGGTAAGGCTCAACCTAACCTATGAGAAACTAGGCCCACCCAACTAGGCTACTAGTACCGGACACATCGTCGCCCTTCTATCCAGCTCATTGCACCTCAACTTAATCTATTACATGGGATAGGTATGCTTGGCGCACATGACTCGTCCAAGGCTCAAGTGGGTCGGTTCGATCTAAACTAGCACTATGCAACATAGTCTAATTTTCTCTCCCTTTATTGGTTTGAGTTCGTTAGTTGACTAAATCAAACAGGTTTGATTGGTCCAAACCAGTTTAGGGTGATTCTTGACCGATTCTATACGGATTTAAGGTTGGCTTTGTTAGGTCCTAATTGAATTGAATTTGGAAGTCGGTAGTTGGTTTGAACTTGTTAGTTGACTGAATTAGATATGTTTGATCGGTTCAATCCGGTTTAGGATGATTCTGAACCAACTTTACCGGTTCAAGCCTACTTGACCTAATTGAAATCAATCAAATCTAAATTAGACCAACCTATGGTGATTTGAGATCGATTATATACGAATTTGAGGTTGATTTCGTTAGGTTCTAATTGAATTATGTTTGGTTCAAGTCAATTAGGATATTCTAATTAGCGTTCTAGTTGATTGAAAACTACTGAGAGATTGATGCCTCATGTTTTTATGATTTGATGATCTTTAAAGTTTTATCTGAAGATGTCATTTGAAAATAATTATTAGTTTTCTCTTATTTTTTAGATTAAATTAATGATATTAATGTGATTGTTACCATGTAGTATATGCGACTATGCTGAGTGGTCTACATTGGAAGTGCAACCCGTGAAGGGAGCTACGGGTCCATCACAGTACGGAGCCACCAATATACATAGTCTGGTAGGTTATACGTCAAGCATGTTCCTTTATAATATTTTATCATACTACTTATTTGATACATGCATGAATGAATGGATAATGTGAATGAATAATCATAGTTGAATATGTATCCCTGCCGAGCAGTTACGGCGATTCCCTTTGGGGATTAACAGGCCGTCAGACATGATAGTTAGACGATTCTTTCATCCATTGTTGGGAGGAACGTATCCCCATTTTGGCGGGTGAGGGATACCACTCCATCTGTTGTTGGGAGTATGATATGGATTCTCTCCTTCCGTTGTTAAGAGAGTGCACCATCGAATGTGATGTACATCTTTGTTTTCTGATTGTTATGTATGTCATCGAGATGTGTTGCATGTGATTAATGCATGATTTTGTTTACTACATAAGAATTATCATTGTTTTTCAAATATATGAGTTTCATAATGAATTGATATATTATCATTTCATATTAAATTATTGATATTTGTATATGTTTCATGAATATTGAAGATTTTTTTTATGATTTTTCGGAGGTTCCTACCATATGGTTGTTGATATATTGTTATTATAGATTTATTTTCAGAGTAACCTATTACGTTATAATAGATTTGAGGTTTGGGTGGAGGAAACTTTTTCGTTACTTATGATCCTACTAAGAAGATGTGATTTTTTTTTTCAGTTAAAAAAATATACTGAAAAAATATTTAGTATTGTAAAAACAGGGATTTGAACTTAAAAGATTAAAAAAAAGTGTTCTGTAAATTATGAATAATGAAATGATAATTTTTTTTTTTATAAATCTGGGATGTGACAACTATTCTGACAGATAATAATACAACTTTGTATTGCATAAGTGGGTGTTCTTATTGTTATTAATTTATATCAGATTATTTCTTGTAACCTTTGTCATTAAGCTAATTGCTTAGTCACACTCGCTCACACTGTAAACATTTACTTAATGCATGAGCATGATTCAAGTTCTCACAGCTTAGCTCTCAGACAAGTAGAATACGAGTTTGACGAGAATTTGTCATGTGATCTCACATATAATCATTTTCTGGGCTTGTGGTTTTTCCTTGGGTCTATTGGTTTTAAAACTTCTGTGTGGTCTTCAGCCTGCTACCCAAGGCTGGAGAACATTTGACTGAATAACTTTGAATCCTCATATCCAAGAGGCACCTAAATAATAAATAACAATAACTGTTTCTGATTCTTCAAATTCAATCCTTTATTGCTTGCAAAATAATGGTGTTGCTACTGCTCTAGTTATCTGGCTCTGACTGAGTGGCTTATGAGATCCAAATGTTTCAAATAAAATCCAGCTGATTGACCTTTGCTTGTTGGTTAATTGAAGTCTCAGGATGAAGAATTGGCCTCTCGATGGCTGGGGAAAATTCTTGCTTGTTAAAAATGTCCCGAGCTGCATTTTGCCCTTGTAAATGGCAATCTAATTTGGATGGGATAATGTACCCTGATATATAACATGATGTGGGATAGAATATCCAATCTTCATCTTGATTGGTTAGCAATTTTAGTTTCTTACTGTTGTTTGCCCATTTTATTTCATATATGTTCATAACAAAGATAAAATACATGTGTTCCATAACAGATTAATGGCCCAACCATATGGCTGAGAAACTACAGAGCTCTGATGGGAAGAGTAGCAATACTTATTGGTTAAGTTTCTGTTGGGTATCATAAGGAATCTAATGTTTTAAGGTAAAACCAAGCCGTCACTAAGAGTTCTTCAGCAAAAATCTTCCTGGAGATGCCACTCTAGCTATGATAGCTTCAGTGTTTATCCTTTTATTGTGACAGTTGAAGTCCTTGCCTATGCAGTGGTTGTGCTTGTTTTCCACTTGTTACTGGTAATCTCACTATTCATTTCTATAAATCCCTTTTCAACTGTTAGAGGGGAAGTCACTATCACATCTGTGCTCTGCATCAAGAATTTACTGGTGATCTGTCTAAGATGGTGATGTTGAAGAAAGGAGATAGGGTTTCATGAGCATACACACCAGACTGATATCCTTCATCAGAAGAAGAGGTAAGAGTTGCTGGAAACCAAGCTGCAAGTATGAATTTAAAATCTTAATTCTTATTGTCTGCTTATCTTTTCCGAAAAAGAATATTGATATATAGAGTCATGGAATTTGCAGTGCAATTAGGCTTGGCTTAGTTCCTATCATGCAAGAGTTAGTATTTATTAATCTTGTTTTCTTTTTGACCTTTGATTAGGTAACTTACTTTGAGCTCTCACATGCTGATCCAAGATGATTATTTTGAGAAGGCTTTTACATATATATGTCCATGATATCTTGAAACTACAGGAAATTTTTACCTTATATGTCTTATTCAAGGCTCTTATATTTACCTTATATTTTGAGCAGGCTTTCACATTATTATTTTTATCTTATATTCTTACTTTAAAGGTAAGGTTGTGTACATTGATTCTCTCCAGACCCCACATGACCCCACATCGGTAGGAGTCTCGTGTATTGTGTACATCATTTTTTTTTTCTAATATGTTATTCAAGTCCAGACTTGATGCCCACTTTGTTTTCTTCATCAACCATCTTGAGCATGAATCTTTCCTTAATTGTCATTTTTCATTGTCATTAAATCAAAAAAATTCAAATGATACGTTCATCGTTTTTCTTCTTTTCATCCTTCACTCTCATCCTGTCCAAGGCCACTTCGATAATGGATCCATCAGTCTGGACATCCATTCAAGAGGAATGCCCACTTGCTCGGTTCAAGCAAAGCTTTTGATCCATGAAACCCATCATCTGGGAAATCTCCAGTACAACATCTCAAGCAGGCCTGCCAATTGACTCTGCTGGATGCCTTCTCCAAATTAATCTACACCAAGACAGCCCTCTTCTCCCAGATCATAGAATGATGTATAGATCCTGAGCCACCATTAAATTGCCTAGGATAGATCTCTCAGGAAGAAATGCAAGTTTGCCTGGGGTTTATGTGATCCTTCACACACTTTCAGCTAGAACTATCTAAATAATGGCTGCAAGATTGTGAATTAGGCTTCTGTAATGACTAGTCATAATTGTGCCATTACATCCTGGCACTAGAGCTATATGAGCCACACTGAATCTTTTTAATCTGCTGCAGCATGAAAGGCTTAGCAAGTTCTAGCAAAGATATCTGGATGATGCTCAGGAAATTGTCTTCAATCTGTTGCTGATCCATAGGAAATGAACCCCAAATAATGTTGATCCCAGCAATCCAGTGAATGAAGTGTTATCATCTCCACATCTAAGCCATCTCAGCTGAGTTCTTTCAACCCATAATGTGTCTTCCACATTGTGATGTAGACCTCAGATTCCTCTTTATCTGTTTGCACTCTCTGACTCTTTCTTCGTCACAAAGGTCACCTCCAACTCCATCGGCTCATCTCGATGACAACCACATGACTTTTTCTGCATTCTTTGAAGACTGGAATTCCAGGTAATTAACTCAGACATCAACCATGGGACCTTACGAGTCCAAGAAAGTGTTCTTCTTTCATTCTGTAATTTCCACAAGGCAGTCATGTAGGCACAGGTTCCATGATTGCCTCCCAAGAACCATGATCAGGTCAGCTAAGCTGTGAGAATAAGTCTCTTTACCTCTCTACAGGAAAATAATAGGAAAAAAGAAATCTTCTGTCCAACCATTGTACAAAGACAGCTCCCATCTAAGTATTTATTCTCCATAGCTCTCCCAGTTATATAACATGTCATCCGGAGAATGCTTAACACGTTTTCGGTCGGAAAATCTCACTCTTTCTAATAGTAGTTAGCATGTTTAATTAGTCTTAGGATTTTAGGCAAAGCTGCATATATCCTGCAAAATAATGAATCATGTGTTTATTGCTTAACTAAATTTAAGCTTGCCCATATTATATTTCTAAAGCATTCAAAACTTGCATATGTTCTGTTGTAGTTAAATTTTATTGGTTGACTGGTAGAGCACAGTTTTGAACACTTATTATGGTGACAATATCATTGAATGAATATTAATTGGAAGGCTAAATACTAAAAATCTTAATATTTGAAGGAATGCATATAATATTTCTGAACTTTTGGATTCATGATTAATCTTTATGATGCCTTATCAGACTAATTTCAACAGGTTATACTTCTGCAAATGGCTGAGCAAACTCCAAGCTGAACACTGAATCTGGACAGCTTCACTTGATTGGACGATCTCTTGACCAGTACCAAAAGTTGTTCTTGGTTGAAGTAAATTGCTTTGACTGAGACCGAGACGCTCGTACTCACTGTGCCAGATTCCTTCCACGTCCGAACACTGCTGCAAGTGGACGAAAGCCATGATGTGACTTCAGGTAACCAGATTCAATGTCTCGAGTCCCCACTGGGCCACCCTCTCCACGGAGCAATCACTGCACTGCCACCATTGCACCTCAGACCATAAACGTGCCAGTATGATTTGTTATCCTTTCATCCGTCTCGCAGACTGAGCTTGTGGCGTCAGTGGTGAGGTCAGTGGTAGTCCCTGCACTCCATGGTTTTCGTTTTCCTTGCTAAAGAAAGCCATCGTGATTCTTATCTGCAATAGTTTTCTTCTGGTGGACAGGACATCATGTGAAGGAAAAGAAGTGTGGAAACGACAGCCATCCCTTCCACCACCACCCACCAGCAGGTGCATACTTTAACCAGATCTAACATGTGATCCTTGTGCATGTTGTTGAGGCATTTAATGGTGTGGATGAAGGCAAGGGTATAGCTCCTCTATATAGAGCCTCCCCCCACCCCTGCTGGCTCTCAACACTCACACCACTAGTGGCTTAACTCAACTGAGAAAAGAGAGAAAAAACAAAGAGGAGGAAGATGGAAGGAAGAAGGAACAGAGGAGTGATGCTAAGTGGAGGGAGGAGCTACTACAGCAGCCGTCGGCCGATCCCCAGACGGGGCAAGGTGAAGGCCTCCATCGCCATCGGCCTCGCCCAGTCCCTCGCAGCTCTCTTCTCCCTCGCTGTTGGCCGCCTCGCCTAGATCAAATCATGGCATGGCTATTCATGCTTGATGATACGCACCCTGGGGCTCAAAACATCCTTCTTTTGTTCTCCCGTCCTCTTTGTAGTCAGCTCCCCAAACCCAGATTTTTGTTTGGGTGTCATGTAAATTAACCTTGTGAATACAATGAGAATCAAGTTTTGTCCATCACTTTGGCATCCACCAAATTGTGATCTGTTGTTCCTTTGTGGAAGGTATAAAGATATCCCAGAGCAAATTGTGATCATGTATGCTGGCTTTTCCTTCTTGTGGGTATAAAGATTTCCTTCTGTATGGTGCAGAACTTGAGACTATTTCTGACTTACTTGGTAAGTATAATTTGAGGATTAAAACAAGCCTAAGAATACATGACTTAATTTGGTAATCTAACTTAGCTTATCTATTCTCTTGGCTCAAGTTTAAGCAATAAAAATTGGTATTGAGACTGATGAGATCCACCAGTAAGATTTGCAACACTTGGTCATATAGATTTTAGATGTCATAAACATGGATGATATGAGAAACACAATGAAAAGAAAAAAAAAAACAAGACTTCCTTTTGGTAGCAAGAAAAAGCTTGATCTTAATAGTTTTCTTAGCCAAAAAAAAATATTATTTTATTTCTCTTGATTTGACAAGCATTGTGGTCTTTCTTTCTCACCTTAGTTGATCATCTTTAAAGTGATGTGGGATCCCCTTTAGATAAAAATGAAGTAAAAAATTAAATTATAAAAGTACTTGGAACATTTCTGTCACCTGCTTTGGCTTACCATTTTAAGATTTATTTATTTATTTAATGAGAGCACAGTGATAAGTTATGGTGAAAATTCTTTATTTCGTAATTAAAACACAAAAAAGAAATCTAATCTTCTCCTCCTCTTCTTGAATATTGTATTGTAGGTAATGTGAACCAAATCTTTATTAAATCTTGAGGTGATAGGATTGATTGTCTCTCTCTTTCCAATTAGATTCCCACTAATCCAAAGACAAGTAGACAATGACACCCCATGAAGCTTGGCTTGTAGTGGCGGCAGCCAGACAAAGGAGATCTAACTTTAAAGATTGGGAGATGCATGTCTTCTCCACCAAGTCTTAGATTCTCTAAATCTCACTCCCATCATCTGCACCAACTTTGACCCTTTGAGTACACGTACTCCCTGCAAAGTATTCCTTACGGTTGATGCGTCTCTTTCAGTCAGTCGTTTTCAATCGTCCATCTGAGCTTGAAGATTCGTGCCGATCTGATTATCTTGATAGTATAATATGATTATTTGCTAAAATGCTAATAACGAGGTCTGGGTGGTGTAGTTGGTTATCACGCTAGTCTCACACACTAGAGGTCCCCGGTTCGAACCCGGGCTCAGACACAATTAATATTTCTTCTTTTTTTTTACTCCCCCTTCCTTCATCATTCTGGAACCTTCTTCTACCCTTCCCTGTAGTAGTAAGTAGTAGTATGCTGCACCTGCCATTCTTCAGTCTCATACCTTCCATGTGTGTTTCACATGCCCAATCTTGAGTGACAAACAAGAGGATTGAATTGCAATATCCATGACATCATCAAATCAATTCTCTCTCTCTTGACAACATCAATATCAATGACATTCTTCATTCCTAAACCTTCCCTGTTGTGGTAGTATATTTCACATGCCAGCCTTCATTCCATGTGTGTTTTACATGCCCAATCTTGAGTGACAAACAAGAGAATGAAATTGCAACATCAAATAAAATGTCTCCAAAGAATATGTCAGGTAGTCTGGTTGATGTCTACTTATCTCAACCCAAAACCTTTACAATTGTAGACATAATAAATTGTTGGCAAAACACACACACACATACACACACACACAATTAGCTAGTAAAACACTCTGCTGGATTCGTTCGAGCCATGTTGACGAGCAGAGAGTGAATGTTCTCCGTTAGCTCTCATACTTGCGTTTCAAATACGCGAGCAAGGTCTTGGACAACCTCCGACATTGGTGGCCTGTACTCTGGCTCTTGCTGCAAAGCAGAATAGAAGTTCAGACATCAATGCATGATACTCGATTGTTTTGCAAACAAGCAAGCAGAACTAAGTTTATGTTGACCATGGTGTCCACCTAGGGATGTAAACGAGTAGAGTTATTGTGTCTGGACTTTAATCTTGGTTCCCAGAACTTGGCGTTAGCTAATCTATGCAGTCTACTACCTTGCCAAATTTCCTAAATGCTAAATCTCATATGTATCATGAACAGTAAACTTCCCATACTACACAATCTAATTGATGACCACTGGATAAATAGTTGTTCTCCAAATGTTGTTTCTCTTGTAGTAGTAGGTCACATAATCATGAAAAGGAATCTTACCTGTGTACAACGGCTAATAATGTCTGCAAATCTTGAGAGTGATCTTACAGGAAATTGTCCAATGGAAGGATCCATCATTCTTCTCAGTGCATCAATATCATGAAGCTGTGAGCTAGCCCACCGCACAAGATGTTGCTCCGCTCGAGGAAGTGAGCTTCACCAGACAAAAATTTAAGAATGCATGGCTTTCTAACAAATTCACAATAGCAACACAATCTATATCTAGTGATAGTTATTGATGACTAAAGCATACCTGTCAAAGGGCTTGCGCCCAGTAAGGAGTTCTAACATAACAATTCCAAAGCTGTGGACATCACTTTTCTCACTATAATAGCCCGAGTCACTGACTTCTGGAGCATCGTAACAGAATAAAGAGGTTTCTCTGCCTGACAACTGAAAGAAAGAAAAAATTTTACTTTCATAAACAACTCAAACACCGCTAGTTGCATGTTGTTTTAAGGAAAAGCAAATCGTTCAAAAGTTTGGATATTATCTTTATCTCAGGAATCTGGACATCTACAAAAATTTTACTCAGTACATCAGAAATATTGTTCAACTACCAAACTCTTCTTTGTAGCTATTTTGCTCTTAATTTTTCTAAGTCAATAAACAAAGCTCCATTTGTCTATTCTTTCGGTATCAAGTGTAACCATAATTGCTGACATTTGATCAAATTAATCTCATTGTATCTTTCATTAGAATTTGTTAAAATCACAGGATGTGAAATAACTGGACTGTGGTGTAGATTGCCATATTCAAAAACCACAGAGCTCTACATATCAATAATACAATTTTTTTCATGCTTCCTCATTCTTATTTACTCGATATAATAAAAATCCTCAGCTTGGATTTTAGATAATCACGAATAAATGGAAAACAAGTGGTTGAGATTATTTGATTTTGCTTATGGACAAGGCTACAAAGAAACAAGGGTGCTTCATGCGTCTATTATGCACCAATGTTTTGACAAGGACACAGGCTGAACATTTAATATCACATATATGAATTACTTTGTCAGGTTCCACCTAGCAGACAACCATACAGATGTCGGCTCCAGAGTCTGTGTCGGGTGATCAGCTAGCTACCTTAGTGTTAAGAGTTCAAAGGAACTACTTGGTGGCTGAACTGTTCTCCTGTTATCAGAAATGAGATCTCATATTCAATGAGGCAGTGCCGTCATGTAAGAAACTGTACAAGCTGTCAAGGTCAGAATATTGCTCACCTGAGTAACAAAATCCAATGGTAGTAGTGAATTTAGGCCACATTCAGAAACCTGGACTGCTAGATCATCATTAATGAGGATGTTTCTTGGCTCAAATCTTTGATGCACAATAGGTGGTTGGCAACCCTCATGGAGATACCTTGAGAACAGAATCAAATATGGCTCTATGTTGTCATTTACTTAAAACAAACTAAAAATAAAGTCAACTTACCCAAGAGCTTTTGCAGCTTCCAGTGCTATCTGGATCCGAGCATTCCATGGTAGTTTTCTCTTGAGATCACAGTCATTGTGGAGTATATCATATAGGCTTGTGTTACTGAAGTAATTGTAAATGAGTAAATGTTGGCCAAAGTCCATACAGTAACCAACAAGCTCAACGATATTTGGATGTCGAATCTCTGAGATGCTCTTAATTAACTTCAAAAATTCATCGACTGGAAGATTTGAATTCTTATTGTCAAGCTTCAAAACTGCAAATTGCTGTACATAAGATAACTGATTAGATGTGCACTACAACATGACAATTGTATTAACGATACACTGCATGTGCATATGCTAATGCACAAACTTGAAGAAGCTTCTCTGTTGTCATAACCCTAAGGTTATGGCTAGCACATTCCAGTTTCAATAAGAGGAATATGGCTTGTCAAAAGAGATGCATAGTCAAAGACTCGAAACACATGTATAAGTTTAAGATCTAAAAAAGACAAAGGCAAAGAAATTCCTAGTCAATAAAATTACAGTATGAGCAATACAAAACCAGGTCTATGACACATTTAAATAAAAACTAAGAACTAAGAAAGCCAACTTAATCCATTATCCTTCAGAGACAGATTACAAAGAAGCATAAAAAATCCAGCCAAAAAAGAACTTGATATTTTGGACATCCATATTAAAGAGAATTAACAGGTAAAGGCATTCGAAAGTTTATAGTTCGAAATTAATATCAAGAATTGATTCATGTATGGTCAGCAAGTTAACCATCCAAAAGATTTAATAAGGAAGAGTGCAAGCCAGAGTGAAGCCAAAAGATAATACCTTGCCCTGTGGGAATTCTGCTAGATATACTTGGCCAAATCTACCATCTCGAATCAAGTTCTCCTCACTAAAACTGTTTGTGAATTGTTGAAGTGAAGAAACAGAAAAAGAAGCTAGAGAAGTTGGAGGATTCAGAATTACAGTCGGATTCCTTTCATCTGTAACAATGGGTTTCACAGTATTTTTTTCGACAAGTGGTGGCATCAGAGGTGCCCTAGTCCCTTGAATATTAAAACTGCAATCCTGCCTTTTAGTTGGCTCTCCAAGAACTGCTGACAGGAGTACCAATGTAAATTATATCAAAACCAGGAGCCGCTGCATGTGATAAAACATAGTTTATCAAAGAAAAAGCATAATTATTTACCTTCTCCTCCTCTATGGAGTCTGTTAAAATCAGTACTTATCTGAGGCTCCTCTGGTCTTCCATGTCTCCTGATATCCTGCTGTTTATGATCTTCTTCATTGTTCCGTTTATTTTGTTGCCACTTTGATATACAAAGTATTACCACTAGTACTAAAATGATTAGCATAATCACACCAGCACCCACGTATCCAACAACTTTTACTATTGAAATTTTGTTATTATCCAAAGATAGGCCATCATTCTGAGTAGGACCTTCGGAAGAGTTGGCAGGCATGATTACAGGAGCAGGTGCTTGATAAAAAGGCAATGTCGTTGGTGGGGTTGGAAGTGGTGAAGGAGCAATACTGGTATTGAATGGATTACCATCCTTCCTGCAGTAAGGATCCAATAGTAAGTTGAGCATTTACAGACACAAAAGCACCATTGCACATTTGCATTTCAATTCCTTAGGCAAAAGGAAAGGGTTCAACTATTGAAAAGAAAGGGTGAAATGATAGCTAAAGACCACAGACAAAGTAATGTAGGCCTTGTGCCTTTGCTTTCCAACAAGAAATAATATTCAGTCCGCAAGTAAAGTAAGTTGTCAATAGGCACTTACTTGAAATTAGGAATATTAAAAAGATTTGTTGGGATTGGTCCTGAGAACATATTATTTTCTACATTCCTGCTCAACATAAAGTCAAAGAATCACAGTAAGAGAGATTTATAGCAAATAATGACATAACTCAAAACTTTCATTTACAGTGCGATGAGTCATGTAAGACTTAGGCTTTAAAAGAAATATCATGAAAGATACTCAAGTTGCGACAGAAGGTGTGGAGGACAACTGATGCCTTATGCCTCTTAAGAAAGCTTTACATATGAAGTTGTAACCTTCTTAAGGTTAAGATAGGCAAATAGATGGCACAAACCTAGGTTTCTTTGATCAATTTAAACTAAGACAACATGGAAGCAGTTTAAGATACTATTCTTGGTACAATATATGGGAAGACAAATGTTACTTACATCTCATGGAAAATTGTGCTTCTTGTTACTGTCTGTTATGATGCTCCAGGTACAAACCTATAAAACCCGGTTTAGTCTCACATTAGAAGTGGGCAAGAACATGGATTGACTTATTCAGGTCTAATGGATCTACTACCATTAACCTGAGTTTAAGCATTTTGGACTATTGGTTTGGGATCAATAGGTTAATAAGTCAATTATCCAATCAGGTTGGGTCTTAACAAATGATATAAGAGCCAAGCTAATATTAGGCAGAATGAAAGGCAGTGGGCGAGTTCTCCAATCAGGTTGGGCTGTGACAACCACTATGCAATATCATCAGCTATATCACTAGTTAGTGGCCATTATCAAATCCATATGTTTTCAGCATCATCCAAGCCTTTTTTTACTCATCAACTGGGTTTGTCAGAACTCAAAATTAAAAAAAAAAAAACTGCTAGAATATTTGACAAAGTTTTACAACCAGAAGCTTGCTCCTCTGAAATCAAAACTTGAAAAATACTTCCCTGTTCCCAACTACAGAAAATCTTAGTAGCAGAGGGAATCGCTAGAAAACTTCAAAATGCCGGCTTCTAATTTAAACCAATGTTATTTACGGTAAACCCTCCATGCTTCCCCTATGCTTAAGAAGAGTGGGAGGGGAGAAATGACAAGCTTTCCCATAGAAATTAACATTAATCTCCAAGCTACAATGAGAGCAACAAGTTAATGGAGCAACCCTCGAGATATTTTCCCTATAAGATATCCAAGGACATTAGAGTGGTGACAAGAAGTGTGGCCATTCTTAACTAAATCTCGCTCTGGTAAAACTGGCAACTAGAGCAACCAAACCTTGAATTGATAATTAAGCTCTAGCTTTTTATTCCTATCAGTGTCTATCCAGGTTCCGCTACATGCATAGATGATGATACACAAATTTGCCACTAGCTTGCATCATGAGGATCGCAAGGTATTGTCCTTTTTAACCAACATCGAACATAGTTTGTCCTCTGGGGCCCATCCCAAAAGGCAACTCAAGGAGAGGCGTCATCAACTCTTATAGAGCTCTTGTCTTCTGAACGCTTAACCAACATTGGATTAATCTATCACCGGCTCAAGCTAGGGGACCATGAGAAATTGTCCATTTTGGGCTACAACCCACATAAAATGGTCTTCTAGGATCCACCTTCAAAGGCTTCCTTGAATAGAGGAGTTGTCAGCTTTTATAAGGGTTTGGCTCCCCAACTCCTAAACAAGATGGGACTATATGGTATGACAACGCCTAACTAACTAGCATGTCAGGAGGATAGCATTGCATCATCTCATAAAGCGACCGAAGTATATTAAGGGGATCTCTCAAAAGGCTAGGCATGTCATCCAAACATGTGGCAAAAATTTAATGCCAGCCCCTCTAACAGCACGAAGGGGTTCATTGTTCTACTCAGTCGATCATTAATAGGGGTTTAGCCTGGTCATTATAAGCCTAATTGGTGATGTTTAAGAGTCATTATATAGATCTCTTAATCATCACATGCTCATTGAATCTGCTGACTTCCATACAGTCAAATAAGGTATAAAAAAGAGGGACTTCAAGTAAAGCCTGAACTTGTCGCGTGTAGCCCTCATCAACTACTAACGCACTTCATGTCGTTGTTCCCACCCTTGCTAAAATTATAATTCCATCAGAGGACCCACCAAACCCATTCCCAGTGCGTCCTTTGTTTCCTTGCAGGTTGGAGCTCTAAGCTGTTGGATAACTACCTAGGTAAAGGCCATGTTGGATCCAACATCTCACATGAATTGGATGATCAAAATGAGCTTCATCAATAAATAATATAATTTCTTTTCTATTTTTTACTTGAATATATATATCCACATGTTTTTTTTACTTTCTCATTATCAATTCTCATATGACATGGAAAATTAAAGAGAGGTGCATGAAGAAAGTACAAATCTTGTAGAGGAAGATCTTGCAAGACATCAAGGGTGCCAGATAGTTGATTATTCTGGATGTGCCTGCACCACAGAAGAAACAAACATGTAAATAAAAGATCTTAAAGGAAGATGCAGAATAAACATTAACAAAAGAGAAAACATACAATGTAGTGAGAGAGGACAAACTCTCCATAGATGGCGGAAGTTTGCCAGTCAAATTGTTATAAGAGAGATCCCTGTATCGGCAGAAGGGTAAGAATATGAGTATCCAGATGGTACAAAATAATTTACACCGAAGTGATGGGTTCCTACAAGTTTATGAGTCCAGTGAGAGTCTGGAAAGCATCAGGCAATTCCCCGGACAAGAGATTGTTATTCAGTGACCTGCAGAAACAAATGGAAGAATTAATAATCATATCAACAATACTCCTCACCAAATGCTTGACTACATATAAAAACATTGGATGAACTCACATGTCCGATAAAAGTGTCAGTTCAGATAGTGAGCCCGGGATGCTTCCTTTTAACTGATTGTCTGAAAGAAAACTGTCACAAGCAAATAAAGCCATGAAAGATACTTCTAGACAATCATTACCGTAAAATAACAAACCACTTGAGAAAGAAAATACAAAAGGCTAGGAGATTAACAACATACAACTTCCTTATCGTAATAGGTAAGCCCTCTGGTATACTGCCACCAATTTGGTTATTGCTCAGGTCCCTAGAATAATACAGTCAAAACACATCAATGGTCGGCCATTGACCAGCAGGATAATTATGCTTAACAACGTGAACAGTATCAAATATTACTATTGCAAAAAGGGAAAAGAAAAGCAATATCAGAATCTTGTCATTATGACAACAAATCAAGGGAAACACTTTCAGTGTCAATACTTACATTGTTATCAACGAAGTAAAATTTGCTAACTGATCACCCAATTCTCCTCCCAAATTTGCGCCATTGAGTATTCTATCAGAGAAGAAATCTATTAGACGAGGGGAACAGAACAGATAGAAAGAAGAAATATTCTTGGGAGCTTTTGGAACTTCACATTGCCGTTATGTTTGAGTTGACGCACTCAACTCCTTGCCAGCCATCATTGCAGGGGTCTCCCCCAAGTGAAGTCCATTCAGGAAGCGGAGGGAGGCCCAGCGCAACATAAAGGTAATTTATGGCATAAACTGGAAGCAGACTTGCTCAGATAACCTCCCCAGAGTTGCAGAATTGGCATTTGCATGATAAGTGTTCGAAGCTTACCATCTTGTTCATATGTGTAACCATGGGAAAATGGTACGTAAAATAGCACAGTCAGAACCAGAGTAAAACAACGGAACAACCTCAACTCCAAAATTCCCATCAGATTCTTTTCACCAAAATTGCATGTTCTGCACTCCAACATCAAAGACAAAGAACTTGAATCAGATGAGATATAAAAAAGACAGCTTTACATTCTAAAACTGAAAGAACTCGCAGAAAATTCTTGGAAAAGATCAAGAAAGCATATATCCAGTCAAATCTCACTCCTAAAATCTGAAAAGGATTTACAAAATCCTTTTCTTGGCCACTCATCCGCGAACATTTCCTTAAGACACCGAAGCTTCTCCCCTAAAGACCGCAATTACAACCTTCTTATAAAAAAAACAGGAATCCGATCCTACTGTATACACGTGAGAGGCATCAACTTCCCAAGAATCCAAGAAAGGGGGGAAAAAAGCGTATCTTGCAGGAGTTTAAGCCAGAGCAGAGTGTGAGAAACCCATAAAACCCCCTTAAACAGCTCGAGAAAATGTTACAGAAGAAGCAAAAGAACAAGAAGATGAGACAAAGGAAAGCACCGGTTGGAGAGAAGGGGAGACACCGACCTGGTTAGAATCCCCAGCGGAAATGTTGGCGCAACGCTTGAGACGAAGCTGAAGATGAGCACAATAGTACTGGGCGAGTGCTTATAAAGGGCAAAAGACGACAGCGAAGAAAGAGAAGGGAAGAGTAAAGGAAGAGGAGGAGCGTGAAAGAGAGAGAGAGAGAGAGGCTATGCTTTGGTAGTTTGAAGGCTTCTTTTTCTTCTTTGCTTTGCTGCTTCCTTTTCTTTCCATGCTTTGTTTACCACTGTGGATGGATGATGCTGGCGGGTACATCTGTGGGTTCGATGCCACGTGTGGAGCCAGGTCGGCGAGACTGTGGGCCCCACTGAGACGCTGGGTTCACTGAAGGCGACGGGTACGACGCTGAGTCGTCATTAGATTCGGCGCCTAGCCATCCGAACGCATCTTAGTCGTACACGTTTTGCTTTCACAGTCGTAGACGGCACATCATCTGTGTCTCCCATATGATTTCTATGTAAAGATATATATGTTTAGCATGTCGGACAATAGGAAATAAGGTTATTTGTAAGATAAAAAATTCTATAATAGAAAGAAATGAACTAATATTTGAGTGAATTCTAAAAAAAATATAGATTTTTTTGGAGAAGTGATTCCCATATCCAAAAGCTTTTTTTTCTTTACCTAATACGATAAATACTTTTAGTAATCGATTATTTTTTTATTTTTCTATTAATCGATCCATCGGGTGAATTATAATATTTTTTTCATATTATATTATAATATTTTTAGTAATATCAAAAAATATTATAACATAGTATAGAAATATTATGTTATAGTATGATATAGTGTTTTCCTAATTTTTTTTAAAACAAAAACACTATATCATAATTGTTGGTGTCAACAACTTTAAGTCGCGGCCTCGGGGGCTAACACGGCTTGGTTCGAGTCCGAATGAGCGGGGATCTTCCTGTAGGACCCTTGAGTCCGCTGAGGTGGCCAGCTTCGCTTGGTGCGATCGGAGACGGGGTCGTTGTCTTCTCTGGGACGGGACTCCTAACCTGGACGCCTGATGGGGGCACTTCGTCTTCACACCTGCACACAGGTCAGGTCGGAAGAGCTCGATCCGACCCCTTCGACGATCAAGTTAGTTGATAGTCACAGGGTGTTTTTGTCTTTGTTTTTCCCTCCTCTTTCTCTCTAAGCGCGAGGGTTTTTATAGGGAAGGTTACCGTTGCCTGATGTGCCCGCTCGTAGGGGGCAGGCTCGTACTTCTGATAACGTTCAACACCGATGTTGGTGTTGCGTGAAGAACCGGGCTTGCGCAGGATGTTAATGTGCCTCGGTCAACGTTCTAGTCTGTTTTGGCCAGGCGCTGTCAGGTCAACCGAGGCATGAGGCGTCATCCGGGAGCAGCTGACGTTAATCCACGTCCCATCGCCATTACTGCCCTCATCAATAATGTTTTCGTATTTCATTACAATGATTAAGTATTGCTGAAAACATTATAACGTAGTATAAAAATAATATAAATATAAATATAATATTTTTAGACTGCAAAGTATATTTTTGGTATTTACTAAAAATATTACAAATATTCCAAGTATTACTTAAAGAAATAGAGTTGTTTGGAAATTCGAAAAATGAGATTTTTTTTGGTTGAAAATTCACCGTTAATATTTGATTATTCTATAACGCATACAACTCTCATCATTAACCTCACATCGCTGCAGAGCTCGTAGCCATCAACTCCAATGCAGCGTCCACAAGAGAGCAGAGTGGTGTGCCGTGCCGGCTCAGTCCCACGCTACCAGAGAATACATTGAAGCATTCCAGCTCCGATGTGGTTTCTGAGACGCTCTCAAGCTCCTTCTCCATTCCCAGATCACTGAAAACCCTAATGCACTTGGTGTCACAGTTCATCATCCACATCGCGATCTCTATCACGAACCTCCTCATTCTCGGCACCTTTACGGATGGGTAGTGGTACCTCTGCAGTACTCGCACCAGTGTCTCTGCAAATTCCTCCTCCCTGATTCCGAGTTGCTCCATTTGCATGGCGAATTCTTCGGCATCCATGAATCTGAGGACTTGTGCTGCAAGGCCGAGGGATACTTCCAGCAGTTTCACCTCTGCTGTTGTGATTGCCTTCACGACCTGCATGGCGCAGTGAGACGGTGAGACCAAATAGTATTGGGTGTAGATCACTGAAGCTTTCTTGAGTGGGGCTTACTGTGCCAATGGCGGCAGCGACTCCTCTCAAGCAGAACAGGTATTCGTGCCCTGCATGCTTGCACAGGTTGCGGAGGATCCTCGAGGCGTTGATGCGAAGCACCGGATCGTGCAATGCTTCCACGAGCCTCTCCACCACGTTCATCTCCTTCAGAATCCTGCAGCAGTTGGCCTTGCTCTCCAGTGCCAGCATCGCCAGCGCCTCCCCTGCTTCCACCTTCACGGCATTCTGCTGCTGCATGAAGAAGATCCTCAGCAGCTCTTTGATCATCCCGCCGGTGACGCCAATCCTCTCCCTCGCCTCTTCGTCCATCGCAAGACTCGTCAGGATCTCGATCCCGAGCTTCTGAATCACCGTGTGGTTCTCCCCGTACTGCAGGATCCCCCTGATATTGCTGACTGTGAATACGATCTCCGATATCTCCTGCCGGAGAAGCTTCCCTGTCTGCCCTGACGTGCTTGCAAGCATCTTCACCACCTGCAGTGACCGCTTCACTGCCTTGACTTGCGACTCCGTTGCGCTTTCCCTCCTCCCCAGCGTCTCCCCGTCGCCGGTGAAGCCTATGATCTTGGCTAATAGACCTCTGGTGTTGCCGATCTTTCCGCAGTTGTCGTGGTCCTTTGTAAGCTTCTTAAGTATCAGCAAGCCTAATAGGTTGAACACGGAGAACCCGTAGTTTGCGTGGTCGGCAGCGGCGGCGGCGGCGCCGCACAGGTGCGATGCCTCGTCCGGCCCCGAATTCGAGTTGCTCTGGCCTGTGTACAGCAACGAAGAGATTGATTCCATGGCTCCGGATATTCCCGCCACGCGGAGCGCGTTCTGCTTCTTTCCGGCGAGCTTCGAGACGATGACCGCCGCCGACCTCCTGATCTCCTCCTCGGCCGGGTTCTTCCAGTTCAGCATCTCGATGAGCCTCTCGATGACCGGGGTCGACGTGCCGATCTTGCGCAGGGTGGCGTCGGCGAAGCGGTGGCTGGTGGAGAACTTGAGCAGGATGCGAGCGCCGATGAGCTGCTCGTCGCGGGAGCTCGAACCGAGGAGCTCCTCCGCGAAGGTGACGAGGTCCATCTTGAGCCCGTCGAAGATGCTTCCCTCGACGCACTTGGAGTAGGCGTCGTAGAAGAACCTCTTGATGGACACCATGCCGGCGTCGCCGAAGTGGCACTCCCTGTTGACCTCCTCGAGCAGCAGGCGGTAGCTCACCTTCCACTCCCAGTATGCCTTCTCGGCCAGGAACAGGAGCGCTTCCGCCAGCGCCAGGCTGTAGAAGATGTCGAGTGCTGCCTTGCGGTTCTTCTTGTCGGGGTCGTCCGGGCGCAGCTGGCCGAAGTCCTGATCCACCAACCGCATGAGCGAGAGCGAGACGCAGGCGGAGGCGGCGAGCAGCTGCAGCCAGTAGAGGACTCGGCTGACGTTCCGGGTGAGGAAGACCCAGCCGGAGAATGGGAGGAGGGGAACGTCGGATGTGTGCCACGTCCGACGCGGCGGCGGCGGCGGGTCTTTCGACGTCGGGTCGTTGGCCATTTCGACGCTGCTCGGGATTCTCGTGGTGTGGATCGAGAATGGCCGGAAGATGAGCTTGAGCGATCGGAAGAGGAGGCGAGAGCTGGACTTCAGGGCTCGAAAGCTCAACCGCCCGGCCTCGGTGAGCGACCAGGTGGCCTGGTGCTGCCACTCCAGCTCGTGGCTCCGGCTAAAGATTCGGGCTCCTTCGATGAGGAGGATGATGGTGATGAACCAGAAGTCTTTCTTTTCCAGCGCGATGGCGAAGCCACCGAGCAGGACGACGGTCGCCCAGATGAAGCCCAAGGTGCCGAGGCCGCTGGCGGCCTTCTCGAGAATGGCAAGCCGGAGCGCGAAGAGCGTCAGCTTCTTCTCCGGGGCTCCAACGTCGCCACTGTCTCTGCATAGGCCAGTCAAGTCGGGATCGCCATCGACGCTCTTCGGTGGATCGTTCGTCTCTCTCTGGGGCTCGAAGAACGCCGAGCTGTAATTATCAGCGAGCTTGACGCTTGCACTCATGGATTGCTCGACGATATGCAGTCGGACACTCGGCTCGCCATCTCCTGATTGCTCCATGGGAAGACGAGGAATAGAGCTCCGTGCCTTCGAAGTACAGAATCGTAGAGCAAACTCCGATCGAACATGGCTCGATTGAGAAGAAGATGGCGGCTTTTATAGGAATAAGATTGACAGCATTACAGAGAGAGGTAGGAGGAAGGAAGAAGAAGGCCAACTTTGCATGGATTTGGCTGGAAACTAACTGATTCTCCATAAAGCAAGCAGAAACAAGGATGGTTTGGTATGCGAGGATGAGGTATACACCAAGAACTGTAAGGACAATTCAGCAAGAGATGAGAGCTGGATGAACTTGGGGGGCAAGTGTTTCTTGGCCTAGTTGGAGAGCAAGAAGAGTGAAGCTTGTGGCATTGGATGATCCCCTCTGCTTGTAGGAGTTGACTTTTCGGCTAAAGTAAATGTGTGCATTGTGTCAATGGACATCGATACTTGGAACGTTGAACAGAAGTATAAATACTGGGAGATTTTACATAGTTGTCATTTTGCTTAACTAGTCAACTAGTCCGCCCTCCATAGATGATGAAGTCAATGGCAACATAGACTTAGCTTAAGAATCACAGGAACCATATGAGCCAGTGAGGAGAAAGATGAGGATGGTTGCTCGGTTACATGCTTCCAAGAAACCATTGCTGCTGTCATGTCACTCCTAAACTGAATGCCGCTTGATTCAGTCAAGTGCTTGAAATGGAGCTTTCCAGTTTGGACTCCACTGCAGTGGGTGGCACCTTTCCATGTTTATGTTACTTGGGTTTAGGTCTCAAGGGAAGGGGTGTGTTTCCTTGAGAGAGGAGCCATAAGTGATGAGCTGTTGTGAGGTCTAGCAAAGGAGTCTTTAAAGAAACCCCCTTGTTTTGTTTCTTTTGAGTGTGGCAATGTCTGTCCTAAATCTTTGGGAGAAGTCGAGGAAAAGAGAGTAGGATAGGGAAAGCTGTTTCTTGATACATAAACCAAGCACACATGTATTGCAAGTAAGGAAATGATGATACAATGCATGATTGGAACATCTAGTAATTGTAGGATGAGAGATTTTATATCTGCAGAGAAGATTTTAATAAATGCGACATAAATTAAATACTTTGTGTTGCAAAAATAATAACCAACTTATGTAATAAAGAGGTTGATTATCTTAGTCGCAAAGATATTGGTTACGGAGAGTCGTATTCTCATAAATGAATTATAGTCGTCTTAGAAGCGTCACACAATATCCCATCTAAATCAACATAATATAGGCATAATAATCTTTACAATAAATCCCCATGACAAACATTCCAGGTGAAGCAACAAAATTTTTTTCATGCATCATTAACATAATTTTTACAAAGTATTACATCAGTAGAACGTTTTATACAATCCATAAATTATTTTAGGTTTTGGCCTGACAAAAATTAGATTCATTCAAAGATCCTGGCAATCCGATAAGTCTGAGCCGACCACCACGAAAATTATGCAAATCTCAGTACTGTCACAGCCACCAGTGTAGCAGCTCTGAAGAGAATCTCATTCATGCTTCTCCTAAGCTTGCTTGTGATATCCTCCTCCTTAAGATTCAGCTTGCCGGAGTGTTTACTAATATAAATAATTGTGTCTCTCAACCCAATGATGGCCGATGAAAGCCAGAACAACCCAAATCCAAATCCAGTGTTCAACAGCCTGGTGGCACACAAAGGCACCCTTCCACATGCAAGTTTGTACACAACAGAGAAGATAACAGCAAGGCCAGTACCAGCAATCCCGGCAGAAAATTGGGTGAGTAATTGGCTAATCTCAGCACCTGATTTCTTAAGCGAGAGGACTCTTGTGCTGCCCCCTTTGTCTAGAATAACAGAAAGAAGGCTTTCACAGGCATGAAAATAGTTCCTCTGGTAAAGGTCACGCTCTCTTCCTATTCTTTTGTTTTTTTTCTTCTTAGGCAACATTTTCAGCTTCATCTCAGGGCTGAGCACACAGAAAGATTAGGTATGTAAAAACGACGTAAAATGTGCATTACAAAAATTATGTATGCATTAACATAACCTTGGATCCATATATTAGGGTATACCTCTTCAGAGGAGCAACTGTTGGGGAAGCCACCTGTCTGTGAGATTGTGAGCGTCCATGACCCCTTCTGTACGTAAAGCAGATGCACATCGCATGAGAAATAGTTATTTTAAAAAGGACATAAATAAATCATTATCGCAACATTAAGGAATAGCAACTCAGTAGTCTTCATTGTAAACACCTCTTTTTTATTTTTTTTTGCTTCCTAATATTTTTGTCCGTTTTAGTGATTTTCTAGTCTATTATTATCATGTGTATTTCCGATCCTATTCCTTCTTTTTCTTTTGTTTATAGTGTTTACTTGACAAAGCTAAAAACCACCACAAAGTTTGGCTAATTTCGGTCCACAATAACCAGGTTGGCTCTGAGCATTCTTATTTGAGAATCCAGCCCCAAGTTCTGGTTCCTATCTTCAACAAGGTCCAATTCTTGTGACCTCACAAAAAATTACAATATTAATAACATAGTTAAACTACAACATTGGTAACATAGTTAACGTTATCCTTGATGCTGAGCATCTGTCATGGAAAAATAAGTCAATCTGTCAATAATGAATCCTGAACAACATTTTCACATTGTGTAGCAAGTTTTAGCGCTGTGACCAGAAATTTATGTAGCTTTTGGGCAACATATATTCAGTTTGTTTGTGAGCAGAGTTGATTCAGGAGGGAGGGGAACCAATAAAAAATGATGCTTAATGAATAAGTAGACATGTTTATAAACAGAACAAAACAACCAAATGATATTCGAAATACAAGAATCTAAATCTTAACATGTTTAGTAAACAAAAAATACTGTTAAGTCAATATAAAGTAATTATCATAAATGAGTTAAAAGTAGATCTGATCAAGAATTTTTCGAATGATAAAAGGAAGGCCTACCTTGTGAAGTATGGGACTAGCAATGATTGCTTACTGCCAATTATTGTTCTTTTCGGAAGATCAAACTCTGGAACAGTTGGTATTAGATATTCCATTTGAGTTGCACTGCATGCAAACAAAAGTGTGCCATTTGGATGTACTGTGAAATATTTAGTATCAGAGGAATTCCCAACAAAATCCAGCTTATGCTCTGGTGCATAAATCTGTCTTTGTATATGTAGAGGATGCTGAGAATCATCCATTTCAGCCTCATATACGGAAGACTTTCCATCCACAGTTAGATGGGGTGAAGGCAACATGTCAATAGTCATATCATGAAACCCCATGACCTCTGAAAGTAAAGAAACATCTAGGCCTTCGCCTTCTGCAATGTTTGATCCAGACCAAAGAAACTCCAATATTTTCTCATTTCTCGTGCACTTCTCTGCGATTCCAGAGCTGAAAAGCACCGAGTCAGGATGCGAATCTGTTTAAAAAAGAGAAGAGTTATTGAAACCATAGAATTTGGGAAGGGAAATAAGTAAACCCAATTTGCACATAAATCAAACAAAAAAGGTATTACTCACTTCAAAGTACTAAATTATTGTTTTAGACATATATGTTCCTTTGAATAATCTGTTTATTTTAAAATCTTTAGGAAAATGTATCTCATTAACTAGTGAAATTGCTGCAAGGCAATCTGAGTTGCCTTTTTACTGGAGGGAAGCACAATAGTCATGCATAAGCATACATTCAGATCACGAAGATCTCTACATAGAGTTGTGAGAGTGGAATAGCCTGGAGTTGCATCTGAGCAAATTATTACAAAGAAAAACACAATTTATAAAATTACTATTTATTACAAGAAAAAAGGGATACTCCCTTTACCATTCGTATACTTTAAAATGATGCTTGTTGAATCTAATACAACATACCAATTACAAACTGTCCATTTCTATCTTTATGATAATCACTTCCCATCCCTGGATGCAAACACGTTGCAAACTACTAAAGCTCAAGATCAACAAATGATGATATTATTAATCAATTCAAACTTCCAAAGTTTTCTTGCATTGGCAAAGGAGGTGCTGGATGATATTAAAGAATTATAGGTGTTTTGAGTCATTATACCTTACTTTTAGACATATTGTAGTGTTTCAGCTCGTACAAGCAATATAACAACCATAAGTATGACTTTTGGGTTAAATAAGCGTAGTTAGCTAAACATTATATTCAAACAAATTCTGGAAACAGCTAGAAAAAATTTAAAAGAAACAAAAAAAAAGTAAAAACTATACTCAATGTTTGGGAATTCACACACTAGCTTTTGGTCATTGTAAAATGAGCCAAGTATCCAACAAAGGTACTTCCTAGATCGCCACTGAAACAATATAATTTCAAGTGCATGATGATCAGAGTTGTTCATGCATCAGTATGTACCATTTTATTTGTCGGTCATAATCCTTTTCCAACTATTAAATAAATAAATAGATATATCCGAATATATACAAGAACGAAAAACAGGGTGCCTTCATGATGCCACTCTTCCAACTGAACAAATATGGCGAGAGAGGAAAGCAACCTAGTAGAATAAAAGAATGGATCCAGAGTCCTTTTTTTTCACCTCTCTTTTATTTGTATTATCAGCAGATGAGGCAGTACAAATGTTGGCTTGGCTCAGTAAACCAGGATATAGAACTAGCATCCAACAAGCACCCTTGTTCAGCCAGAAATTAGAACCTAGGAAATTGTACTTAAATACTAAGAGATGACTGACCCATCAACCAAGAAGATTTATAAATCTGCTATTGGTTATAAATGTACTTTCATGTCTCATATAACACTTGTCATGATTTAAGTTTTGTCTTCATAAAGTTTTTGCAGACAAGCATCCGTTATTTACAAAATGGTATTTACACATAGAAGAGCATCAGAGAAAGATAAATCCCCATATGGACTTTTGTCTATCAACTGGAACCTACATATAGAAAACAATAACATCAATAATGAGATTTCTTAAAAATTCCAGTAGAAATAAAGGATTAATGTTTATCGACTGGTGGTCACACATAAACAACAGAAGTGCCAATGAAAATACTAAACTTCATCCTACAATACCACTAAGCTGCAGACCTTGCATGTTAATAAGCACATGACTTTCAATCATCGGAGATATCCTGGCTGATTGATTATTCTCTAGCAACAAATGCATTGGTCGCCTCAAATCTTCAAGATGCTGTGCATTAAACTGAACAGAACCAGATCTTAATGCATCTTTTTTTCTACCATGAAGTGGAAGCAGATTTTGAAACTCCTGCATCATCAAGGAACAAATTTAACATTTTGGGACAAAAACATCAAGCAACATCCACAGAGAAGCATTTGGAAAATATTAACATTACAAAAGAACTGTTGCATCCTTATGAAATTTTCATCAGAAGGTAGCGAAAATGATGTTGGTGAATACACGCCAAATCCATCTTTCTTCTAGTTCTACAAGAATGTTAAGGTTTCACTGACTTCTGTATTATACAAGATTTCCGGCGACCGATACTTCAAAGACCAACTAAAAGATTTAAGAGAAATAGGAGCAAGTAAAATCTGAGAGGCCTTCATCAAGCTTTGCTTCAAGCACGAGTCTGCTCTAGTGAATTAAAAAACTAGCTAGGATCAATATACAGAAAAAATCAGGAGGCAGAATGAAAGCATAGAAATGCAGGAGAGCTTCAAGCAAGCTCCTTTTTTCCGCCTTTCCATGACATTTAAAATCAAACGAGAGACCACTTAACCCTTCTAGCTCTTGCTGCAATGATGACTACTGCTAGCTCTGATGTCGAACGTGCATGTAAATGAGTTGAATCCAGTACTGCACAAAGGTCCCTCGATCTAAATGAATCTAAAAGAAAGAAATAAGGTTTGTGTGGGAAAAGATGAAACCCTAGTCTAAAGCATCTTGCTGTACAACTATTTTAAGTGTATATCCGCATCAATATCAATTTTGGAACCGAGAGCAACAAAATTTTCCAACAATTGTCAGACTGACATATCCAACAAAACACACCTTAATTATTGCTCGAATCCCAAAAAATTGTAGATGGAGGCATTAAGATTTCAACTCAATTATCAAGAAACTGTTCTCTCTACCTTGGGGGCCTTACAGAGACCCCGATGCTCGGGGTGGAGGATTGCCGGCGGAAGGGCAGCGGAAGCAACGAGGGAAAACTCCACCATCCCGCGAATCCGAAGAAGAACAGCACCACCAACAACAACCACAACAGCGTGATCTGCGAGATGAGGTAGCGGCGTGGAAGAAACTGGAGGCTGTTGGGGATTTCTGCGGATCCCCGGCCTCACAAAAGGCCGATGAAAATTAGAGGGCGAGGGTTGGATTGGAGCCGCAAGAACTCGTGGCTTTGGGGAGGGATTCGACTTCGACAAGGACAACAATGACTTCAACCTCGCATGGGGTTATCTCTGTTGGACGCCACCTCAGTTGTCTTATTATTATTATTATTATTATCGACACCGTCATCATTACCTGTAGAAGGTTGTTAAGACTTCGGATTTGGAATTATGCATGTCCAAATAATCGTTATTAACCCCTGAAAAGTTGTTTTGAATATTAAAAGAAATTATCATTTTTTCTATTAATGATTTAAATATCTTTAGAACATTATGTTATAGCACATAAAGTCATTCACGTTAATAAATGAACAATGCTGGCTATGGGGTTCGAACCCATGCGCACTTATGTGCAGAAGATCTTAAGTCTTCCCCCTTAACCACTCGGGCAAACCAGCTTGTTTGAATGTTTTCATTTATTGTTCTATTTATAATTAATTAATTTAAGACGAGAATGTCTAATTCATTTAATTAGATTAAAATGATTGGTCAAAATAAATTTTCATTAACGAAAAGAAAACAGAGTCATGATGATATTTTGGAGATTATGTATGACAAATAAAAACATCATAAAAAAATATGAACAAAAAACATTTCTCAGAAAAAAACAAACTTTTTCCCGAAAATTTACCCATAAATTCATTGAGTGATGTTTTGATAAGTTAAACCTCAAAGCCACTGCAGCACACAGCAGACCCTTTGGTCAATGTCAACACGCAACGTAGTGTGCGTCTTCTTCTCTTTGTCGTTTTCTGTTCACGTGTCGCCCGGTAATATGGTCGGAGTCGTCCTTCTCGCCGTTTGGAACAAATGTACTTGCCAGGGCATGGTGACATTTGTAGGTTTCCTCTCAAGCCTTGGCTCTATTTCTACGGCCGTTTCCTTTCCGATGCCGCCATCCATCCATCACATCGCTTCGTTTTCTTTTCCTGATAGAACATGTCGCTTCATTTCCACCCTTATGTTTCACACCTTCAACAGCTTCCTGCGCAGATGTATATTGTATGCAGGAGATGAATCCCTAATCTTGAAGCTCCAGTGGTGGTCATCACTTGTGGCTAAGAAGCCATGGCGGCCGAGACGATGTTACAGTACTGCAAGTTCCCGGGGAGGAAGACGAAGACTTGGATGACCGAAGGACTGCATCGGCTTCCGACGTTGCTTTACCGCAGCCACACGTAAATGATGGCAACCATGGCGATGATACTGTGTCTCCCTCGGCGGTAAGCTACGGCAGTTGAGAGGAAGTAATCGGCAACCATATGAAGAGGGGAGAAGGAGATGGCTGGAGCGAACGACCGCATGCTGCCGGTGCTGTTGCAGTCACCTGCACAACCGAATTCATGCATGTTTGTAATGTCGCCGTCATTTAATGTTGGCAAGTGTGATAAGATAAATATTGGGAAATAATGGATTATACTATAAATTTTTATCTTTAAGAAAATATAATTATAGCTTGGTCTTAATATATTCTTACCAAATTCCAATACATTTCCATAAGTAACAGTATGTGACATGCTTAATTCTATATACATGGGATGATTGCGCCACACTGTTGCTCCGGCTAGCTCTCCTCCCTCCGGCGAACGCGGACCGGAAGGCCACCCTCCAGGGAGGCGGTGAGGCCCGGCGCAAACTTCGGCGTCCGGCTGCTGTTGTCGCCCACGACGTCGATGTCGAACCGCCGGACCACCGCCGCGATCACCGTCTTCATATCCAACAGCGCCATCTCCTTGCCGAGGCACCCCCGCAGGCCGCCCTGGAACACTGGGTACTTGTACGGACTCTCCGGCGTGAACACTCCGTTGGTCAGCCACCGGTGCGGGCGGAAGTCGTGGCAGTCGTTCCCCCACAGCTCCT